GAAAAGCATGCAAGCGATTGCAATCACACGTGTGCTGTCTTGGCTCCGCATCTTTCACTGGGCGCGTAGGCCATCTCGTAACACGTGGGGCTTGGGTTGCAATCTCTGGGTTCATCCAACGATGCGTCTCTTTGACTGATCATATTTCTTCTCCCAAAATCATGATGCGCATTAAACAACATGGAAATGCGTGATTGACGTGGGCCACTTGTCAATTCCAGTATCAACCTGGACAATCGGGGCTTTTGAGCCTCCGCACCCACTCCGCAACCGGACCAGGTATCCGCATAAACATTGATGTGTGGGGAAATATCTAGGTTAGAAATCCCACGTAACTTCACAGGCCAGGTTTGACATGAGCAATCATGGCTGGTTTGAGAGAATCGGCTAGACGACAAAGGCTTGACGACATCTCATTCCGGGTGCGCTTAGCGAGGCGCGGTTCGGCCAGCTACTGGCTTTGACCGGATATCTTGACTAACATTGAACATGGGTTTGAGTACAAGCCAGTTACCCATATTTGATGCAGTCATGCAGACACATGCAGCCAGGCATTTCAAGAGCCGCAATTACTTCTCTGAAGCCACGTCAAGTGGTCGCATTATCACCTGAAAGATGGGTGCAGAAGAATTTGATTTCAGGTATGACGCTCATTTTTCGCAATACTTGTGAAGAACTGGCCGATACCCGCAGAAGTACAGTTGCCTCGGGGTAAGTTTACGCCGCAGCGGGGACTTCATCCTCGGCAACTCGTGTTCACAGAAAAGTCATCTCAGTCTGTCGGAATTGGCAGCTCATTCGAGCTCAACGGTCCGACCATTTAGTAGATGCGCTGGAATACCATGTCTCGTACGAGATGTTGGGGCAAAGTGGCAGTAAATCTGGACCCAAAGCATCATTTGAGAAATGATGCATAGAGTCTCCGCAAGCCTGCGTTCACAGTAATATGTTGCTTGTTACCTCGCCTCGCTTAGGTCAATGCTATGAGAAAGAGCTAGGAGACATTTCTTTCACAACGCTCCGAGCTGGAAGGGCAAGTTTACCACTGTTGAAGCTAGGCACAACGAACTGGTTATTTCCGTGTCGATACTACACGTACATGTAAGCAGGAAGTTGGCATATGTGTGGTCTGCAACTCATCCAGTATGGTCAGTATCCTATCATCACCAAGACATTTGATCTGTCAGTCACATCTTCACCTGCAAAAGACTAGATGCCGCTGTCGCTCCAGTGCGTGCCCCGCTATACGCGCCATAGATGCCTCATCCGTATTGATTGCGACGTTGAAAGCACTGTGTCAGACACTAATAATGGGTCCCGGAGACAGGCTAACAACGGTGATGACAAGCCTCAAGCCATTTGCCAGGTATGCTTGGTGCTTGAAACAGTGGAGGCCATGAAGCGAGCTTCTGTGCGGATGCGCAGAGGACCACCGGCTGAGATTTCGATTTCATGAATGGTAAGCGGGAGCCTGGCATATCTGGCCAGCAAACAGCCAGGCTTTCGCCCGTTGTTGCTGTTGGGAGCTGATAGTCATGGGCATGGGCGCAACGGGGTTGAAAGAGATTTTCGACGCCGCCGGCTTTGGAAGTGTCAAAATTTTACCCGCCCGGCATTAGCTCGAATAGCCAGGTTCAGGTGAGCCCAGTTGGGTCGAGTGCAACCAGTTGGTGGCTTGGCTGGGGAAGAAGCCGTGCTGGCATCCCCTTTCTTCTTTCAAGTTGCACCATGTCGTACTCGTGGATGCCATGTGGCTTGAGGAAATCCGTCTGGTGTTGAAGGTCGCGGGAGTCAAAGCGGCTCTAGACCGGACGAGCTTGATGTTTGCTTGTCAATTATCAACTGGCGAACGGGCGAAACATTGCTTCTTCCAAGACTGAAAATGTGCGAGAGCAGCAAGATAACAGGCAAGTCATCTGCTTGGACGGGGTCTGGAACGATGTTTGCTTGTCAGCACAGGGTCTCGACTCTCGAGCACCTGGCTTGTGTGATGCATCACGCAGGTTGAAACTGGATCCCCGGAGATTCCATGCAATTGTCTTCGCGAGGATCCAGAATCGACCCAAAAGACTTGGTCACGCCTGCATTGCGTCAAGTCTCACTTTTGGGACACGCAGAAGCAAATGAAACGGCCGCCACAATATCGAAGAGCGCCGCAAGTTGAGGGTCGGGTTTCTTTGGTGGCGTCGAAGAAGATCAAAACAAGAAGCAAACATTTTCTCCCCTCCATGTCTATTGGGATTTGGGACCTTTGGGGGACACGGACAAACCCCTCGGCGAAACGACATGTCACATTCCGTTCCGTTACGCCTCGGTCCATTAAACGACACGGATGGAAGGGACGTTGGGTCTGTTAATCCGCTCGCTACTTACGCCGTGCGGGTAGGCTAATGTCAGGTGAGAATCGTCGCCTGCATTTGGGCTTGCGCTATACCTGAGGAGTTCGGTCATCCGCCGACCACCGGTGCGATCATTTCCTCGGTGTTCAGCAGATTCAAGCGGCATGTTTGCGGCCGCCGCGTGGAGAGCTTCATATTGCAATGTTTACACTGTAATTTGACACCTGTCACAAATGACAAGAGGCGGGCACCTTGGAAATTTGCGAGGGCCTTTTGGTCCCCTACGGAGTACTTTACTGCGTAGGTAGTCTTCTGTTGGTCCATCGAGATCTTTAGAGATCTCCATCACATCACTGACGGGCCCGGTGGGTAAGTACGGCAGACTGCAAGAGGCACTCCGCCAAAACACTTTTTTCATGCGTCAAAGCAGAAATCGAATTTTATAGTCACCCTACCACCGATTATTAAACTTTATACTAGTAAGATAAACTATAGATATAGTTTATATAGAATTATAGCTTAAAACATATTATTGATTAAGTTTATAAGACCCCGTATAGCTGTATATAAAATCGCGTATTATTATAAATCATTATAAAAATTCTTCCTTCTTATTAGTTATACCTTTATTATAAAAGCAATTATTATTTTTTACTCTCTTATAAGTAAAAGTTACTCTTTACTTAAATTATTAAACTAGTAGCTAGCTTATAGATACTATAGTGCAGATCTATAATAACTTCTAGTCCCTTCTCGAGACGTAACTAAACTAATCGACCTTATAACGCCCCCTCGTAAAGTAATCCCGAAACGAACGATCGAGAATGATCCCTCTATAAGCTCTACTCTTTTTGTATAATAAGAGCATTCAAATATATAAGCTTCGACGTTAATAAAATCTCTTCTTACGAGTTCTTAAGAGCAAGAACGAAGTATTTAATAAACTAAAAAGGAGTAAAAGCAATCGCTAATAATTAACATCTTTATTACGTTATATAATACGTTCTTTTAAAATAAACTTAACGGCTTTTAAATAATAACTTATACTAATGTTTAGGTCATTAAGAAGTTTATAAGGAAAGTTTAGTTTAATCGCTTCTGGATCTTTACTTTATACTATAATATAATACGGTCTATTATTTCATACTTTATAATAAACTAACTAGCAAATTCGTTCTATAAAATAAACAATATTACTTATTAATATAAAGAATCCTTGCAATATTTTTAAATACCGGGAGATAGTAACGTTACATATATTAATAATTATTTTTCTATAAAATATATAGTTACCCGTTTCCTTATCTTTTTATATTTCTCTAACCGGCCACTTCAGGGTATTAATTAAAAAGTACAATTAGTTATTTATTTTAATAGCGTTAAAATATATAAGTAACTATGCCGAGGGAGTAATTAAAGACCGATGCGACCTTATAATAGCTACGGCCCGTTAAAATAAGTATAACAATAGCTACCCGCTTATATTTAATAAGTTTATAATTAACTAGACGGCCTCCCAAATAAATAAAGGTAAAAGTACGTAAATCGGCCTCTATTTAGTAAAGAAATAGTATATCAACGGGTGGGAGGTATATAGAGTAAGACGTATTAGTATGCATAAAGCGTGGGGTATTCCCAGACATTTGGCACCCCACTGTAGGTGGAGGTCACATTAGCAATCTGATTATTGCAGACTCTGATCCGCTAACGGCTTCCGCTTTGAGGCTCGAGAAGCAGGCCACCGCCAAGGGATGTGTGCGGGGTGGTTCGGGGTTGTTGAAGAGCTTCGCGCCGTGAAAGCCCGGGGAATCCCGACTATGAACGGTGTCGACACGCGATGGCGCTTCCGTTTCAACACCATTCACTTTAAAGAGAATATGGACAAGATGAGGCTGGGAGATCGTGGCATGACGACATGCCGTGAGTAGGTAAGCTTCTACAATCTTGACATGTGCGGATCCTCCGGCCGGGATGGAAGAAGAAGCCGTGCTGGCAGATTTTCCATCCAGCAAACTTTTTCATCGAGCATATATGCGCTGCAGATTCCAGTCACAAGCGAAAGGAGCCAACCCGTTCGAGTACTCCGTAGTGCTGTGTCACCGTAGCCGAACTGGCCAGTGCGAGTTGCAAAGTAAGACAACTCCACTCAATCCTTTCGGGCTCAAGTTGAAACTTGACGAAGAAAGGGTATGTGATTGCAACTCCACCAGTCGATATAGTGTCAGTTGGTAAGAGTCAGTTTTCTTTCCGACGTCGTAATGGAAATCTGTGTCGAGATTTGAGCGTAGGACCCAAAGACAACGGTATTGCAACCCCCCCAGCTCCAACAGAGTGGGCAGAAACCCGAACAAAAAGCCGTCCATGACACACGGACGTTGTTCCCCTCCAGGGGAATCGGGAAGTGAAAAACCGCTCCTGGGTTAACTGGAGAAGCGTCACAGTGTTTGTGGTTATGTGCCGCCCGACCCCCTGTCACCTCTGTTCCCCCGTTTTCTCTCTCTCTCTCTCTCACAGTCACACTTCTCGCTGCCTCTCCAAGCAAAGCCTTGCATAGCGTCAGAGTAAGGTACTTTCATGGATCAATATTGAGATAATTGGGCGAAGCCCCGTGGACCCTCAATTAGGCATTCCGGAAACCGCAAATCTCATCATACGAGTTTGCAATTGCAACTCGGCAATTCCTTGCTGTGGCGTGTTCTCTACTCCACTGTACATCGCGTGTCGCTGACGTCTGTTAGGAACAAGGGACGAGCCAGAAGACTGCAGACTCAGACTCAGACTCACCTCCAACGGCCGCCTCCATCGCAGCCCGGGGATTTGTTCCGAATGCTCACTTTTTGCGTCTACTCCAGTCTCCAGCCTCTGCGAGCAGCGAGCAGCGAGCAGAAGGGTTTGGGCTACTCTGTGTCCTCGGCCATATCTGACAAACTGGGTAACAACACCGCGTACCTGTCTCCACGGAATCCTCAATTACCACTCTGCAAAGCTACGGAGTACTGCTTCAGACCTCCAGTTCATTCCCCTCGAGGCAGCTCGGACTGCATGCAGCAAAAGTTGTGCGGAATATCCACCACAAGCCCGCCTCTTAGCGTACTTCTAGAAGACCCCCCGGAGCTCCTCGTTGCTTCGGTTTGCTCGGCAGCTCACGGGCGGTGTCCCACTGGAGAGGCTTCGGGTCACCCTCAGGGTCCAGTCGATACCCCTGCTGGCGTCTCCTTGGTGCCTCTACGATCCTGGTATTCCTGGTATCCCGGTCTTGTACCACCAGGCGACGGACAGGGCTGACTTTGAACCGCTCCTCGGTTCATCGCGAACGACCAGCCACCATTGGTGCTGTTCCCTGGATTATACATCGACAGTGCCCAGCGTCTTTCTCCATGGGCCTCTCACCCTTGGATCCATGCATGTGTGGCCCATGAGAACCGTGTTCAAATGAGGAACCAGCTTTCTTTTTACACTACGGCATACAAATCATACGATGTCTATCCGTCGAGACGGGCGGTGCCTGATTCGAAGCATGCAGACCGCGAGAACTTAAGCGCACGCGACAATGTAGCACGACGAGGGGGAGGGGTGAGGCACGACTGAGCTCTCTGTCTGTCGGAGTGATTCTACACAATGGCATCTTGGGCTGGAGTTGAAAGTTTCTATATCTTTCCTACGAGGCCCGAACCCGGCGGCGAGGAAGACGTCTGCACTCGCGTTCCCAAAACCTTGAATTCGGCTCTCATTCTATTATTACTCAGAGGTTTACTCATCATCTACATGTCCGTAGCGTCTGTGCATTTTTGTTGATACCCCCTTTAGCATTCACCCCTGTTCCGGTCTGCCCCCCAGATATCCATCCTCGATCCCATACCTGGGCACGAGAAGTACTTGAGAACCGCAAGGTTTCTCGTTTTTGGCTTTCAAATTATCCGGTGTCAGCTGAGGACTGGAGAACAGTATTCCCAAGCCGAAGCCAAGCAAAAGTTTCTTCATACAATAACATCACAACCATGGCTTTGACATACAAGCAATCACAACTCGTCAGGGGCACGATCCCGGCTCTTCGTGAGCATGGCGAGACCATCACGACCATATTTTATGCCAACATGCTCCGAGCTCATCCCGAACTTCATGACCACTTCAATAAGGTCAACCAGGCCAATGGCCGCCAACCCCGCGCCTTGACCGGAGTCATCCTCTCCTTCGCCGCAAACCTCAACCACATCAGCGAGCTTATCCCCAAACTGGAGCGTATGTGCAACAAGCACTGCTCCCTTGGAATTCTGCCCGAACACTATGACATCGTGGGCAAGTACCTCATCCAAGCCTTCGGGCAGGTCCTCGGTCCCGCCATGACCACAGAGATCCGCGAGGCCTGGACAAAGGCCTACTGGATTCTCGCCAAGATGCTCATTGGCCGCGAGGCCCAGATGTATCGCGAATTCGACGACGACAAATGGAAGGGTTGGCGCGAGTTCCGTATCGAGAGGAAGGTTGCCGAAACAGACGACATCTTCTCCTTCTACATGGTGCCTGTCGACGGCAAACGACTCCCCGACTTCTACCCAGGTCAATACACCTCGATCCGTGTCACAATCCCGGAGCTGGGCCACTACCAGTCACGACAGTACTCGCTCAGCGACTCACCACGACCCGATTACTACCGCATTACCGTGAAGCGTGACCAAGGCGTCAAGGTTGGCAAGGGCGCGGCCAAGTTCAACCTCAACCCTGGTGTCTTCTCCAACCATCTCATCGACGAGAAGAGACCGGGCGACATCGTCGAGCTGACGCATCCTACCGGTGACTTCTTCTTCGACACCCACGCCGCCGGCACTCTCCCCGTCGTTCTCATCTCCGCCGGTGTCGGCGTCACTCCTCTCATGTCCATCTGCAACACCATCATCGAGCGCCAGGCTGTCCGCCCCATCTCATGGATTCACTGCTCCGCTCGTGCCGCCCCCTTTGAAGAGCATATCCGCAAGATCGCTTACAGCCGCGCCAACTTCATCACCAAGTTTTTCCGTTCCCAGATTGCCGACGTCGAAGACGACGACTCTCTCTCATCCTCTAGCGACTTTGGCCTCCGCATGGATCTTGCGCGGATAGCACCCGAGGAGCTTTACCTCAGCCACGGCGGTGCGGAGTATTACATCTGCGGTCCTGAGATCTTCATGGTTGAGATGTCACAATTCCTCATCAACCAGGGTGTCGACCCCAACAGAGTCAAGTTCGAGCGGTTTACTACGGGCGATTTGGAGTTTCAAAAATAAGGTCATTGCAGGCCACCACGAGTATCTTGACCTAATTGCTTTTACGGCGGAGAATGGAATGGGTTCTATGGGCTGGTTTAGGAATCGAATGAGACGGAGTTTCAGAGAGCGGTCTATCTGGGAAACAGGTACAGCAACTACACAAACGGAAATGTATATGCCTTTCTTTTTACTTATACAAAGATGCAAGAGCAGGAATTGAACGGGTTTCCTTTGCCTCTGGGGGTTCAGAGTGTACGTGTGTCTCAACCGCTATCAAAAGCGTAGTACTACAATTCACTGCCTCACGTAGCGCTGTGGTCGAGACAGGTTTACAGAAATCGCGTTTTCAGACTCGCTATGCCCAGCAAGCTCAATATTGCCAACCGAGTCGATGAAGACCTCGATCCCCGATGTCAAGACAAACGTCACCTTCACCGCCCTTGTACAACATCGCGGGTTCGATGCCGGGTTGACAATGACTGAGTTTCCTCCATCATACGAGAAAACTGGATTGGATGCAGTACAATGCAACCGCCTGACTCGCCACTATTTATCTTGCTTCTCCGGGCCCCTCATAGAGGCTCCAACCCCCCAGAACTCCCTATGGGGTTCCTTAACTGGGGCCTGGAGAGAATCGCTGGGGTTCTGGAGTGGACTCACTTCAGTGCAACCTGGGTCTTACTCGCATCTGGATCCAGTAAGCCACGGGGCAATGTCAGTTGGTCCCTTCGTGGGCATAAGGAGAAGAAAGCCACAATATCACCACATCGCCAGATGCTCACAGCCGAAGTCGCAGACATTCATCTGGGATCCTGACAATGTGCCGACGCACAACATGGGTAAAGTAATCTGAGATTCCCCTTGTCAACATCCACACATCATCATCCCATCGGCCATCGGGTTAATGTTCACGAGAGACAACAACTGATCAACACATCTCCATGGGAAAGTCTTCCCGGATCACTCCGCTGGTGGTGATGGAAAACGCTGCTAGCGCCAAGCACAGCCTACAGCAACCGAAGTCCCCCCTCTATTATCCTCGGTCCACCTGCGAGTTACGGGTATCGTGGGTCAGACCCGACAGTCGGTCATCCGGGTTCTTTTATGAAGAAAGAGATTTCGAAAAGATCGAAGATCAAAATAGAATCCCCGAAGCCTTGACTCGAGTCTCTACTCGCCGTCTCATTAATTGTAATTCGCCGATGACGCACAATTTTCAACGGTTCTCTTGCAGCGGGACCCGTTGCGGATGCTAGTCTAGTGTGGAAGTATCGGCGAGGAACCCCGGTGCGCCTTCGGCAGAGAGAGCGGCTCGCGGCGACCACTCGCGCTTTTTTTCGTTTACTTCTTCATCTCAACGGCGTCCGTGCCAACCATACAAGATCCCGCTCGCCCGCCGCATGGCCCGGTAAGCGAGAGAGTAGTGAGATATCATAGCCGGAAGACTCTGCAATTCAGTTTCGTGCCGAACACGTAAGTAGGTCAGCCAAAGGTACATGTACGCAAGCTTCTCAGAGCACTTTTCGAACCTGAAACTCTCATTAGCAAAAATACGCCTCGTCCTCATTGCGGCCACGATAGTAGTACGCAAACCGGACCTTGTGGTCCGCCAAGTAACTCTCTCGGAGGGACCGTAAAAAGGAAGCCTGAAGCCAGCTCCGAAAACATCCACATCACCCCATGTATATAATAGCAGGCTTCATAATTGAGGAAAATTCGCCGCGGAAGTTGCGGATGGGCCTGGTCAACAAGGTGCTCTACCTGGTTGCATGGCGGCCACGTCAGGACGTTCTAAGCCACGATGTTGAAGTCCGACACTTGATTAAGCTATCCTGGCCGCATTTGATGGTCATCAAGTGCCTTTGCAATGCTGCAGGGGTTTTGAACGCCACAGTGCGGACCTGCAATAGCGGATGCCATAGATTCAAAACCCGCACGTTTGGACGGGAGACAGAGATTGAGAGACCGTCTCCCTAATCGTCTTGGGTGAAAGTTGCGTTTATCATACTTTACACATCGTCTTCTCTCGGCACAGACATGTTAGCTGCACCCCTGTACAACATCAAGAAAGGCTGGGAAAATGGTATCGTTCAAAGAAGAAAATGATTGCGCATAAGCATCCTTGAACGACTTATAGCAGCCCTCTTCATGAGCACCTTACTTGCGAGTAAGTGGATGGAGAAAGCCAATTCAAATTGAAGGCCGCAATAATTGAGACTTTGATATTGCCACTACCTTAGGGAGAGTAAGAAACATAACTATTACAAGCATCTTGTAAATGAAGATAGCATGCAGCTATTCTGCTATTCACATATTGTATGCATTCTACCTAGTTTACCATTGAGTATAACTCGAACCTCTCTAATGAACCTCTCTAATGAACCTCTCCAACGATGTTTCTTTTACGGAGTAGAGCGGCAGCTTAGCGTCAATTTAGGCCGCGAGTAACATCTGAGAAACTAGCAAGGAACCAAAGCAGAGCGTCGATTTCATTTTTCGTGACTACCTTTATAGATGGAACCGTCGGCCTGGCAGAGTCTCAGCAGCATCGGAGAGTCGACTAAAGACCAAACTGAGCCCACCACCTTCTGCTACATCCTGTGTTCAGTGGCGGCTAATTGAGAGGCAGAAACCATAGAATATCCAAAAGCAACGCCTGTGTACGCATTGGCAAAGAATACATGTAAAGATATTCTTATCCGATCGGCCGAGTTATCGCAATTCCTTTACGAGAAAATTACGACAACGCTTCCGGGAGATGAAGCCGTAGAGAGGGTCTGAGAGCTTTCAGAAACGCTTGAATCAACAAAACTGGAACCTCCGCTACCTCTGGCACCAAGATTCTGGAGATTGTCAGTATTGTAGTAAAGAGACGCGCCTCCACCGCCGCCACGATAACCACCTCCTCCTCCGCCGCCACCAGCCACACCTGAACCTGCGCCGCCAGTCGAAGTTCCCGCACCGGCCGCTCCAGCACCACCAACGCCGCCATTGCCAGCGGCGCCAGCATTGGCACTGATATAGGTGCCTCCAAATACACCGCCACTTCCAGGAGTGGTGGCAGAACTAGCACCTCCTCCACCGATGAGGGAAGTGAAGGTGGTTGGCAGGCTTTGACTGGAGGTGTAGAGGTATCGATTTGCTCCAGGATTGCCTGCAGCGGCCGAATTTGAAGATGCAGACTCATACTGCACCATGACAGCCCCAGAGCTGGAGTATGCGCTGCCTGACCCGCCGCCGCCGGCGCCGGCGACACCAAGTAGGGTAGTCCCAAGGTAGAGGGCAGAAGCCGCACCGCCACCTCCAGCGGTGCTGGTTGCAGAACCACCGTTGGCGTAGATACTGGTGCCGAAAGTGTTTGTACCACCCTGCCCTCCAGTTATCAGTGACAATGCTTGTCCAGGAGTGACCGCCAAAGAACCCTGAACTAATTCTCCTGGGCCACCCGTTGACTGCCCGCCACCCCCTCCAAGGATTCGGAATGATACGGAAGTGGCACATGCAGGTACGATTACCGTCTGAGTCGCGCCAGCGGTAGCAGATGCAGACAGCGTTGTGGATAGAGAGGCCAAGACGCAGGACGACGAAATGGACGTTGATGTAGTAGAGGGTGTCACGAAAGTGATGACGGTAGTAACACTACCTCCTGAGCCCGGCGGAACTGTGGTAAGTCCCGTGGTGGTGGCAGTCGAAGTGATGGTCACTGGCGGAACAGGGGTTGCAGAAGGAGTCACAAAAGTGACAATAGTAGAAGGACCGCCGCTAGGACCGGGGGCAAGAGTTGTTAATCCGGTTACGGATCCAGTCGAAGTGACGGTAACTGGTGTAAGAGCGGCGGAGGAGGTCGAAGAAGATGTGGTGCCACCACCCTGGAACGCAACTAGAGTCCTCGGGATAAAGATACCCCTGGAAGGAGCTCGAAACGGTACCTCCAGGAGGTGTGAAAGACACGTTGAGAAATGAGTATCCTTGGATCTGGCCGAAAACCTCTCGATACGGATACAGAAGGCCTGCCACAAGTGCTCGGTTCCTACAAACAGCTGCATAGCTGAAAGATAAGCTCAAGGCAGTACCTCCTTGATCACTTGGGTTTCCACAGAAAAAGCGCTTCCACCACCAAGGTAGAGAGAGATACGAGGCGTCGTCAGCCGATTGACAGATGGTCCATACACCGGATACGGTAGGCTGGAAGTAGCCAGCGAACAGTGCAGTGAAGTTGTTTGCATCGACAGTAAGACCAGCGACGGTTCGAGTTGAACCAGGAATGTAATCGGACGTACCGGTATTGAACACGGGAAATCCAAGGTCGTTGGACGTTCCCTGTGCAATGGGAGTCACACCTGTGAGATTAGGTGGAGGCGTGCCGCTTTCGTAGCCGCCATTACCACTCCCATGGATGTTCCTGTAGAGCTTCACTGTGACACCCGTACCGGACCCGGGTGTGCATAATGAAGCACATCCAGCGACATCTGTTGGAGAGGGGGTTGGGGTGACGAAAGTGACCACGGTTGAGGGACCGCCGCTTGGGCCGGGGAAAACTGTTGTAAGTCCTGTGGTAGTGCCCGTTGAAGTCACGGTGACTGGCGTAAGAGGAGGAGTAACAAAAGTCACAACAGTTGAGGGGCCGCCGCTAGGACCAGGAGCCAAAATTGTCAATCCAGTTACGCTTCCAATCGAAGTCACTGTGACTGGTGTCAAGGAGGCGCTGGGCGTAGCAAATGTGATGACGCTCGTAGTGCCGGCCGGGTCTGTTGGGATAATGGTGGTGAGCCCAGTCTGCAAGCCCGTTGATGTGAGCGTTGTCAAGCCACCGGTGACTGATGGTACGAAAGTGACTATAGTGGATGGACCGCCGCTGGAGCCGGGAGGAAGGGTTGTCAGCCCAGTCCCAGTTCCAGTTGACGTCACAGTAACGGGCGTAAGAGGCGCAGAGGGCGTGACGGATGTAATGACGCTTGTAGTGCCTGCTGGGTCCGTCGGGATGATAGTCGTGAGTCCCGTTTGCGTGGCTGTAGATGTGAGAGTTATCAAGAAGCCAGTAACGCGAGGGACAAAGGTGACAACAGTGGACGGCCCACCACTTGGGCCAGGAGGAAGGGTAGTCAATCCAGTTACGCTTCCTGTAGAAGTTACCGTCACTGGCGTAAGGGGTTCAGACGGGGTGATGAAAGTAACGACTGTAGTAGGACCGCCGCTTGGGCCAGGGGGAACTGTCGTCAAGCCGGTGGTTGATGCTGTTGATGTGACAGTCACAGGAGGAAGAGGGCTTGCTGGAGAGGTCGCAAAGGTAATAACAGTTGGAGGCCCTCCACTAGGACCAGGGGGAACCGTAGTGAGCCCAGTTGTGCTGTCCGTAGACGTGAGAGTCACCGGGGCTGGCAGAGTGACGAACGTGATTATGCTGGTAGTACCACCCACGGGATCAGTGGGAACAATTGTCGTGAGTCCAGTTGTGGTTCCCGTAGAGGTGAGTGCAACCAGGAAACCCTGGCGAAGAACAAACGTAACAACTGTAGCTGGGCCTCCGGGACCTCCTGGAACCGTGGTGAGGCCTGTAGTTGTGCCAGTAGAAGTTAACGTAACGATAGGCGGGCCAGTTACCAAGGTAACGACGGTGGTGGGATCTCCAGGTCTTTCAGGAGTCAACGTGGTTAAACCAGTTGTTGATCCGGTTGACGTAACTGTCAGAAGAGGAGGGCCGGTCGCGAAGGTGACTACAGTTGTAGGATCGCCAGGCCTTTCAGGTGTCAGAGTCGTGAGACTAGTCACAGATCCTGTCGAAGTGATCGTGGTCAATCCAGCTGCAGGTGGCGTAATGAAGGTCACGACGGTAGTTGGATCTCCAGGTCGTCCGGGCGTCTGGGTACTAAGGCCAGTGGTTGATCTTGTCGAAGTGACTGTGATAATACTGCCGGTAGGAGTTGGAACAAAGGTCACCACCGTCGTCGGATCTCCGGGTCTCCCAGGTGTCAAAGTGGTCAACCCAGATGTTGAAGCCGTGGAGGTAATGGTAGTGATGCCGCCGCTTGACGACGGAACGAGGGTGATGACAGTGGTGGGATCTCCTGGACGTCCAGGCGTCTGCGTAACGAGGCCAGTGGTTGAACCTGTGGAAGTGACGATGATAATGCCACCTGTCGGAGGTGGAATAAAGGTAACGACAGTAGTTGGATCGCCGGGCCGACTGGGCGTCAAGGTGGTCAGGCCAGTCTGAGTGCCGGTAGATGTGACAGTCGTCAGTCCTCCTGAAGGACGGGGCACGATTGTCACAACTGTGGTTGCATCTCCAGGACGACTCGGCGTCAAAGTGAGAAGCCCAGTTTGACCAGGCTGGGTTCCAGTGGACGAAATTGTGACCAGACCTCCCGTAGGAACCGGAGAGGATACAAAAGTGACGACAGTGGTTGGATCCCCAGGTCGGCCGGGTTTCAGGGTCGTCAAGCCAGTCTGACTGCCGGTGGATGTGACAGTCGTTAGTCCTCCCGAGGGAGGGGGCACAATAGTCAAAACAGTGGTTGGATCTCCCGGACGACCGGGAGTCAAGGTGAGAAGGCCAGTCTGACCAGGTTGAGTTCCTGTTGAGGTAGTGGTAACTAAACCGCCGCTGGGAGGAGGCACAATGGTTACTACCGTTGTTGGGTCTCCAGGCTTATCAGGTGTAAGAGTCAGCAATCCGGTTTGACCTGGACGAGTCCCTGTCGAAGTAGAAGTTACTATCTCCCCTGAAGGAGGAGGTACTATAGTAACGATCGTAGTAGGATCTCCAGGCTTTCCGGTTTGAAGAGTCAACAGACCTGTCTGGCCGGGTTGAGTACCAGTCGAGGTTGAAGTCACCAAGCCTTCTGGGGGAGGTGGCACAATGGTAATGATAGTGGTTGGATCGCCGGGCTTTCCGGGTTGAAGCGTCAATAGGCCTGTCTGGTCAGGGCGGGTTCCAGTTGATGTGGTAGTTACCAGACCTCCTGTAGCCGGGGGAATACAGACAATCTGAGTACCAGTTCGATCAGTTCCAGATGGAGGTACAGTCAAAGTTGTCAATGCTGTGCCGGCTCCAGGAACTGTTGTTGTCGTGCAGGGACCGTTGAAAGGGGCATCTCCGTTATTGGGAGTCGGCTTGAGGATGAGCTCCGTGCCTGTCTGGTCACTTCCAGCAGGGGAAATCGTCAACGTTGTCATAGCCGAGCCCGCATAGGGGGCGGTGACCGTCGTTAGGCTTCCTGTGAATGGAGACTTGTCGCCGGCGGTTGGGTTACCTGAGCCCGGCAACCACGGCATTTTCGACCCAAGCGGTGAGCAGATGTACTTGGTTCCTGTAGCCTGTCCACTTTGCGGGGGAATGACAATAGTAGAAGGCTTTGATCCGGGAGGTAGTGCTACCGTGACCGTGACGCAAGGACCTGCGTAGGGCGATTGAGTATTGCTAAAGCGTTCAGATGACTTGTCAGAAACATCTTAGCATCCATTTGAGGCGTGACTCAAGATAGTACGCATGGTAATGACAAGCATGCCAACATGACCTATTAGAGCGCCGACTTTGGGAAAGGTCCCGATGGGCGGTTCCTTCGACTTAGGAATATAGGGCCACGGAAAATTTCTGGAGGCGAAATATTTGAGTACAGAGCGAAGACCCAGTCTCCAGGCGATCGGATTCAGGTACTTTGTAGCATATCCGGGAGGCATGCCCCAGAGACCAGGGCCCAAAAAATCAGAAGGTTGCACAAGGCCCTATGTCTAAAATCTCAATGTCGGTCGAGCGTGGTCTGGAACACAACTTTCTGGGTCTCGGGAAGTGGGAGGTCGCTTTTCTCAGGGCTGCAATAGTGTGGTGATGGTGGTGACATGCTAGAGCGAAACAGATCGGCACTTTCCTGGGCATCTGGGCAAGGAATAAGCCATGTTTACACGCCGAGAACTCAAAAACCCCAGAGATGCCGGGCTAGCTTGTCATCTTTTTCATATCCCTGTGTCCGGATGCGGCGAAAAATGAGAACGAAGGGGTTCCCACTGAGGCTGTGAAAGGCTGACCCGTTGAGACGGACAAATGTCACCTCAGCAGCAACTAGCATACCTGCCAACGGGCGTCTCTTTTGTGGTTACCGCAAAGCTGTCCACAGCTGAGATTTCTTACAAAATATGCGTGGCCAGAAGAGATCGTCTTTTATCTTATGGATAGCCAGAAGGCATTTGAAGAAATAGTCGAGCACTTTAGTACGGGCTCGGGAGGAAATCACTCCGTATTCAGTCTGTGATAGCGGCGGAACAATCCCCGATACCCTGGTCGTTGACCGCGCTAGGAGGGCACAGCCATTGCCTTATTCGGTCTGTTGCGGATCTCTGCTTCAAGATCCTTCTGTGTGAATAAGTCAACCAAGACGCCGTCTTGGTAAGTTTGCTGTCGCCGTCCCGCGCCTTCGCGTTGGCTCTGGGTTCCAAATGCTGACTCGCTGCCTCCTCGCTTTTTCCAGACGTGTTTTCCATAGAGAATGCATGTTTCCGCCAGAGACGCATCTTCAGTTGCCGGATGAATACGAATCACATCCGTGAGGATTGGAGGAAAGGCAAATCAGGCAGTGCTATAGGTATGCGTGGCAGCCTATGGCAAAACTATATTGTGAGCTTTTTGCACCATGGTGAGAATGATGTTTCCAGACATTAGGTTCTGAACCATTCGAAAGGGCTCTTGGCACCAAGGACACTCCTGTGGCTGGAAGCCGAATGAGGTATCAATAGTCGAGATTATGTTATCTGACCGAATTATTCCGTATGTTGAACTCACCTTCACTGCCGTTCTACCAACTCGAATCAGATCCCGAAGGACTGAAAATAGGGTAGATGCACGGAGGCCAAAATGATAAGCGGCCTAACTGAATTCTCTCTCGGAAAATCGAGAGTATCTGCGGTAAATCGCAAGCCCCGAACTGTCTTTGGGCTCCTACCGATTACTGGAGGAAACGACCAAGGCCTGATCAGTGTGTCACATGGTCCTAGGGGCTTTGATGGTTGTTCAAAAAAGTGTTGCCCTTCGCTAATGATGCGTTACAACGCCAGGGCAAGTGTCTATCTTCCGTCATGCTGCCCAGCGACGGGGAAATCCTCGCTCCTCGCGATGAGGTGACATGTCTCCAAACTTGAGAACGACTGTGATTTGATGAGGGTGGTACGAAGACGTAGACACGGCCCCACACAGCAGAACGCAAAGAAAAAAAAACGCCTGAGGGATATATATTAGAAACCGCTCTGTGGACCAGGCTCGGCAAACGAGCAAACGGCTGCGTATCCGTAACTTCTCTCATTATCTCAAAAAATTTTTTGGGATAATTATTACTGCAGAATGAATGAGTAGAGTCCACTCTGATCGTAAGATCAGTTTCAGCCACTAGAATTCCCTGCAGCTGTTCTTGAAGGAGTTGAGTGCCGAGGGCTTAAGATACGACTGTAGACCAGGACAGTCGGGTGTTAAAGAGATAGGTCTCACTCCTTACAGCGATCGGGGCCACATGAAATAGTCGTCTTTGCAAGATTACCGAGACCGAGAATTCATCGCTGTGGTGATCATCTCACCGAAGCCTAAGCAAGTGAGATCGGACAAAAGTAAATAGTGCCTATCTATCCTGAATAGTCGATGCCCCCTGCGGTCAGACTTCACTGCGGGGCCACGGAAGTTTTCCTGGTTCTCTGGTCCGGCACAGACCTCGAAGACAAGCTGTGGTCCGTGTGGGCTCCCGAAACGTCTTAGCCTCCAAACTCAAGCCGCAGTCGTTCGTGGCATAGAATGTGTAACTTCGTTTGTAGTTGGGATCTGCGATGATCGCTGATGACTGGAAAGGGACACAGCCACTCCCGACAACAGCTTGGTTGACATTGAGAAGCTCGACTCTACAACCGACAGCGGCTGTAGCGATGCCGACGAAAGAGGCCCAAAGACAGGTAAGAGTGGTAATCTTCATGACTTAGTTATGTTAGCCGCCAATTCGTTCGATGAATTCTCTTTGGCGAGAAACACAATCTTACTGGTTTATGTTGTTAATGCAAACTTCCTTAGTCAGGCTCCAAGAATTTAGCGTTTCCTGCTCCAAGAAAGTTTTTGACGAAGTAAACCAAAGGCGATAATGGTAAAAGACAGTAGGGCTAACTTGACCCAAAAGTTGAGGAGATCAACTTTATATACATCAATCAACAGAAACCCTGAGTCATTATCACAATACCTAGCAGCTAATTATGAATAAGAGGTAGCCCGGAAGCTTGGGGGTTCAGAGCCATATCAGTTCTTTCCTCATTGAATCAAGTCATCGAGTCCAGCAGCCTCAACCTGACTAACCGAAGTTGAAATAGAGTCACCAAGGCCAAGCGGCCAGGTGGAATTGGCGGCTTGCCCGTGAGTCAGATCATAGCTGTTGGTACCAATACTTGGGTCTAACTAATGGCCTTCTGGACTAATACTGAGGGCTCTATAAGGTAGTGGAAAGATGTCGGAGCACGTCCGACTGCATCACTAAGTTAATATACTACGTGTATATCATTAATTTGACGACTGGCCCTGTGGACAATTGTCATCCTGGAGATCTCCTAGATTAGATCTCGTAATTGCCCCATACTGGTAACCGAGGCACCCCAGCAAACTCAAATAACACGAGCTCTGTCCACTCTTCATGCGTCTGTAGTAATGCTACGAGAAAAAGCTGACCCAATCTCGGTTTCGGCATCGCAAAAAGTCCTAAGTAGTTGGTATTTGAACATACATGTATTTGTTGCATAAGTGGGAAGCCTCCAAGTTCATGGAAGCATTCACTGACCAGTGTTCTTTATGAAACACCTGTGTTCCGCTGTTTCTGCATGGTCGCGATTTGAGAATATCAAACTTCTCTTGGGCTGAAGAGTCCGACTCACTTAGCACCCTGCCTAAAGTACTTAGTATCTTGTGTCGAAGCCACGCTAGTTGCACTGACACCAGCACGTGTACTTTGTTTCCGAAAATCAAACCTTCTGGAATGGGCGCCCTTATCGTAAGTAAGGTAATTTGCATGACTTTCAGTGAGCAGAACTTGCACACGGATACTCTGAGTTACGCTAGTAAATGTTCTCAACCTTCCGGAACTACCCATTACTCCTGTAACGTAGTTGGTGTTACCTATGATACTTCATGTGATGCTAAAACTTTAAGACTGACATTGGATTTAGGCTATTATTTCGGGAGTGTAAACTTACTCAGGCCCAGGGGCAAGGAATTTTCATCATTTCACTCATTTATTAGATGGCCATGTACACACCGTACGAGCAAACCACCTTACCTTACTATGTGCTCTGCACTCTAATCTGCCTACTACCTGGTATAGAGACGCATTCTTCAATTCGGCCAGTGGAACGCTGGCCAACCCAAATTCATGACAGAACTACTAATCGAAAAGATTGGAGTGAACTTGGAAGATAAAGTCCGTGTTGGATTAAGTATGTAAGATGTGTACCACAAACGCGCTTTACTACATGTAACCACTCACAGTGACTCTTCTCACTCTTCGACTATCGCAACAGTGCTGCCTTCGAGGCTAAGGCCGTATCATGAATGCACCAAGCCTTTTGGGTTAGAGAGGTCACATTCACGTTCCCAGAGCTAAGGAGCTCCACACAACAAATATCCATTGCAAATGAAAGAGACCGCAGTCCTTTATTTTAACTGTATCATCTTCGCTTGCTTTACTGTCAGAAAGCGAGCATCAAGTTAGAAACTGTCATTGCAAGAGCTTCCACATCCGTAATTCTTGAACTCCGTAGGAGCCTTCTTCTCCAGGAACTTGGTCCATGCCGTGTAGTCTCCGTTATTGCTTGTGCACCTTCGTCTCTGGTACCCCTTCTGACTCAACATCTGCTGTTGGCTCCAAATGACGTGGCAACCTTGATCATTCCAGGTGCACGCAGTCAACGAGGTCGATTGGCTGCAAGTCTGCGTCTGGTGGCCAACGCTAATACTCGCGGTCACGAACTCGGCCGTGATCCCGGCCGAGATTTCGAATGAAGTGGTCTCGCAGACCTGGTTGTTGAGGCCCTGAGTTGCCTGGCAGGTCTGGCTTTTGGTGCAGTAAACTTTGCTGGAGGCCTGGCGCCAAGGGTCGTTATAAAGGTTCTGTTCGACAACATAGTAATCGTTCCAGCACTTGACGCCCGAGGCATAACGATGATCGCCGTCGGAACCCAAGTAGCGGCCTTCGCCGTCGTTGTAACGAGCCATGAGCATTCCCCGTTTGCCGATGCCCGTGTCGCCAGCCTGAAGGGTGATGTTGTAGGTTTCGGCGTATGCGATCTCTTCTGCTATCCAATCATTTGGCTCATCCCGTGACGCCAGAGGTGTTGCCAAAGACATGGCTGAGAAGAGCAGAGGCAATATGAGAGAAGTCTTCATGCCTGATGAATGAAAGTTGGGTCTGAATGATTTCAGGTCGGCGAGATGGTACATGTACTTCAAAATAAAGTGTGGCTGAGGAACAGGATATTCGTCACTTCGAAAAGGGTTGCCAGCTTCATTTATGTATCCGGAGGACAGAGGAAGTGTATCTAGAAGCAATTCTCACAATTGACTCGGCATACTCTCCTCGGGGATTTGTCGACCCGACTTAGCTTCTCCTATGTTGGCCATAAGCCCGTGATATGCGAATTAAAGCTTCTGCCTGGGCACGACTCAACCCCCCTGCCACGAAGTATTGTTCTCTCGTTACGGAACACCCCTAGTGTAGATATTTCAAACGCCTGATTATTCAACTTAGACAATGCCACAGAGACAGACAGGAAACACTCACACTCTGTTTCTGCCTGGAGCTTCCTCCATGTCGTCAGGGCATTATGTATAGAGAAAGGAAGCGTCCACGACGACATCGCGTCCAAAGTAAATGATTTGGGAGACCGGAAGAACTTAGAAGAGTGGCCGTCGCAAAACAAGCATGGTGAGGTGTTAGAAAGACATGGACTGAGAATCCGTGTAGCTGGTGTAGGGGATGGAGCCCCTTCCATCAATCACACAGGATGAAGCATTGTATCAAATTGCATGCCTTCAACGTTCGAGAAACTGTACCTTCCTTGCTTCAATCTTATTCCCACAATTAAGCCTTTCTTTTTGGAAGTTCGCCGCATCTCAGACGCATTCGAGTCTTCCGAGTTTGCCAGGCCGGTCACAGATAGAGGCAACGCCAATCTAGGTAGAGCATGGTGGGTTCAAATGGAAGCGGTAACTCCCTCTGCCAAAGGTGTGGTCAATTCAGCGCCACGAAGATGGTATGTTAAGGTATCCAGGAACATGGATCGCTAGGCTTCTTTGTAATTTCAATTTCCGTCGTGAACGCATTGTATTAAAGCACTTGTTTTAAGGTATCATCCAAATCAAAGCAAGCAACTGACAACCAATGGGAAGAATTAAGCGTCCCTCCCGTCCCTTCACTAACTCCACCAACCCGAGAAAATAATTCATTACATCAATCAACAAATCAGTGCGACAAATCGTCACACAGCAAGCAGTGTAGTTTCATGCCACTCGTCCAAGTGCCAAACTGTCAACGTCACTTCGTGCTTCGTGACTGACGTCTAACGAAGCTCTTGCGGAGGGTAGGCGTGAGTTTGCCCTTGAGGAGGCGGGGAGTTCGTCGGCGAAACCGTGCCGTTGACAGGCGAAGGAGTGTAAGACTGAGGGGGGTATTGTTGCTGCTGATGTTGCTGGTAATCTTGCGGCTGCTGAGTGAAGTTCTGGGCCGGAGGAGCCTGTTGGTATTGTTGTTGCTGTGGTTGCTGGCTCGGCATCTCCTGGTACTGCTGAGGTGGCTGCTGCTGGTACTGTTGAGAAGGAGGCTGCGGTTGAGGTGTGTAGGACTGGGGCGGGTAGAATTGCTGCTGTTGCTGTTGCTGAGGCACTTGGCCGTTCTGCGGCTGCTGGTATGCTGTCTGCTGCGTGAGGAACGGCTGCTTAGACTCCATCTGAATCTCGCCCTGACTGGCGCTGGCAGCAGCGGCAGGCGCATTGGTCTTTCTCCAGCGCAAGAACTGGACGAGAGTCCAGATGAATGTCACCAAGAAGAGGATGAACTGAAGGGCAGACAATCCCGCAATAGCAGAAAACATGGCTAGTGCGCCCTGGCTCATGACGATGTAACGCTTGAAGATGGTGCAGCTTCCCGAGTTCACAGCGGAGCCATCGGAGGTGCAAGAGGCTGTTACATCAACGGTGAAGGTGGCGCGACGAGCTGCGCAGGCACCCAGGGTTGCGAGCCAGAGGATGACGAGGAAGAGGTCGAGGGCGAGGACGGCGTAGGTATGGTAGAGGTTACGGAGAGAAGAGATCTTTTCGGAAAGGACAGTGTAAAGCACGATGATCCATGTGAAGAGAGGCTGATTGGGCATGTTAGTCGATGTATCTTGGCAACCACCGATGTCTTCGTGAGTGAGAGCGAGGACGTACAATAGCCACGGCGAGGCCGAGTTCATCCATGTATACCCAATGAATAATGGCTGCTGATAAGCCGAGGATCACAATGGCGAGGAAGAACTGTACCCCACGGATGGCGACCATCCATGCCGGTGTCATGATCATGGGTGGTGGTGGGCTAGTTGAAGCATGATGGGTATACTGCTGTGGTTGATGCTGAACCTGGGGCTGAGGTTGTGCTTGAGCCTGCATCTGAGGCTGTTGATGCTGGGTGTTCTCCATGATGCCCCAGAGTTGCTAGACAACGTTGTATAGAGAGACGAGTTGTGTACGTCTTGTTCGGCTCGAGAGTCTCGGCGGCTCTTACGTGAGTGGGAAGAAGGTGTCGTAGAGATCGTGGGGAACCAAAGACAGGAGGATCGAGAGCGCCATGGTGGAGATGGGCAGGATGCAGGTATACTTATGGAGTGAGACTCGGACAGAATGTGACAAGGTCGAGTCAAGGGAGGGGGCGGCCGACATCGTCGCCCACATCTTCCACACAGCCAACCAGAACGTTGCGTCTTTCAGCCTTCATTCTTTTTTGCTCATTGGGCGTGCCACAGGTGCCTGATGGCGTCTATCGTGATGCAGGGGTCTTGTTGTGAGCCATCGCGTCGAGGAGAGGATTCAGTCTAGCGGAAGACTTGCATGAGGCTCCCTTACAAGCCGTACAGCAGAATAACAGGGGCTGCGAGAGGCTTGTTTCCTAGACGGGTGTATAGAGACGAAGAAAGCCTAATTGTGGATTCTATCAAAGCTAGAAACGGCCGTGAGTAGTCATGAGTCGGGAGTCTAGTGCAGTTGAGTGCTTGTTCAGTGGTTCAGCTCATCTGCAAGGTTGACATCGCTTGCCTTGGCAGTGCTGTGGTAATGCGGGTGGTCGGCACGGTTTTGTGGTGAGTCGTGGGCGCGAACGATTGTTCTCACTGGTGGTGGCTTCTGGTGTTAGTCACTTTCACTGTGAATCCGTGTCCGTAGGTAGATTATGTCTGAGGTTGAATTGCCCGCCTTGAGCCTTGATCAAGGGTTCACATGGGGGACATTAGAGATTCCGCGTTGACCGGAACGGGTGAGGTTGTGGGACCCGAGGCGTCCGGACTAGGCCGGTTCGGGGGACGAGAGTGACACTCGAGCTGCTAGTGCGCTTCGTGGCGTCCTCAGCTGAACGGGAGGGCGGAGTTTTGCGCAGTTTACATGCCTGTTGCTCGTCTATCTCGTGGCCGTGAATGGGTGCTTCTTCAAGTTCCTATCCACTAACTGACATGGGGGAAATAAGGCTCTGAGGAGTTGTCGCGATAGCAAAGACTCGGACTATGGCGGCCGTTGGGCGTGGCTCGTAGTACCCAGCTAACATGTAACCATGCCCGAAAAGACAACCTTAGTTCGACTTGGCCAGGGTCCCGTCTGCCGGCCGGTAATCATTGCCTTGTTGTATGGGTTTCAGACGCCGACACTAATTCGTAAAGGGCGCAGGTTGTCGTATGATGCTTGAAATGTCGGACTGACGATGCTAGGCAGAGGCAGCCTGGCGTACAGTAGATTAGCTTTCTCAACATCGGCCAATCTTGTCAACTTCCTGATGCAGCCGGAATCGGCATGGAGAACGCGGGAATAAGCTCATGAAGTGCAAAAAGTGATTGAATCTTTCGTTGATCATATCCAATGCAAACATACATTGTTGTGCCCCTCACCCCGCTTCATCAAAACCCGTACATGCTGCATGCCCTAGAAGTACATCGCAAACCCGCCCATGACGCCCTTTTTTTTCGATTTCATCCGCTCGCCGGTCATTGCTTTTCTATTTAGCTTTGGAGGTATCCACCGATCGCTCAGCAGCATCCGCCCTGGCTGCCGTTCTCGGCTGCCTTCTTGGGGTCCACCTCGGTGCTGAAGGTTCCATCGACCTTCTCGTTGGGGCCGGCGATGAGGATCTTGATGACTTGGCCCTCCTTGACCTTCTTGAAAGCCTCCTCGGCCTGCTTGAACTCAACAATGCCGGAGATAAGCTTCTTCACGTTGACCCTGCCGTTGGCGACGAGGTCAATGGCGAGCTTGTAGTCGCCGGGACCGTAACGGAAGCTGCCGCGGGCAGTAACCTCCTTCAAGCACAGAGCCATGATGGGGAAGTTGATGTCGGACTTGCCCATGCCACCCTGGACGTAGGTGCCGCCCATCCTGACGACGTGCAAGCTGGTCTGGATAGAGGGCTCAGCGCCGCTGGCGTCGATGACGCAGTCGGCTCCCGCGCCGAGATCGCATTGCTCGATGAGAGCCTTGGCGTTCTCCTCGGCGGAGATACGCTGGGAGAGGTAGGTATGAGTAGAGGCGAGATCCTTGGCGAAGTCAAGCTTGGACTGGACAATGTCGACGCTGACAACCTTTGTGGCACCGAACGACTTCGCGACGGCGGCGCAGAGCAGACCGACAGGGCCGGCGCCCATAACGACAACAGAGGCGCCAGGGGTGATCTGGGCCTGCTTGGTGATGTGAACGGCGACGGCCAGCGGCTCAATCAGAGCTCCCTCTTGCAGGGAGACGTTATCGGGCAGCTTGTAGCAGAAGTCGGAGGGTGCGGTCCAGAAACCGGCAAGCGTGCCGTCGTAGGGGGGAGTCGCGGCAAAGCGCATTTCGGGGCACAGGTTGTAGTGGCCGGCGAGGCAGTCTTCGCAGCGACGGCAGGGGTAGCCGGGCTCGAGAGCGATGCGGTCGCCGACTACGAGGTTCTTCACGTTCTCGCCGACCTGGATAACGGTACCGGCGGACTCGTGGCCAAGGACCATGGGGTCCTTAACGACAAAGTGGCCGATGGCGCCGTGCTCCCAGTAGTGGACATCGGAGCCGCAGATACCGGTGTAGTTGACGGCGACGAGGACTTCGTGGGGATCGGAAAGCTTGGGGATGGGGCGCTCGGCGAACTCGACGTCGTGGGGCTTGTTGAGGATGAAGGAAAGGTTCTACGCTTGTTAGTTGATGTCGATTGAGCTCTAGGGGCACAAAGAGGCCTTCATGATGGAGAGAGACTTACGCTTTTGCCCTCAGTGCCGGCCATGATGGATGGATTGCGGGGTTACGGGGAGAGGGAGGGTTCGGTGAGGGATGGTGTTTTTGGAGTTGGTCGATGCTCGTTCCACCGAGAGAAGCGCAAAGTTGAGTTTTGGTTAGGCGTTCGTCACAAAGTTCACAGTCTCCTAAGCAAAAGGGGTATCGTTGGAGAAACACAGAGAGAATCGGAACGTTGGATGATGGACGGGCAAGAAGAGCGAGAGTAAAGGTGAGGCTCCGGGTATCGTGGACAGGCGCGCAATGGATTAAATAGCTGTGACCGCAGCCCTTGGCCCGTAGTAACGGTGTGATGGGTCGGGATTGGAGGGATGTGGAGGGACGTGATCAGGATGGGGAATGCGACCAAGTTACGGATGTTCTGGGAGGATGAGTGAGCGAGCTGCGCTGTGCCGTGCCGTGGATGAGAAACCACCAAAATCGTGCATCGTCTGCTAACCCAGCGGTGTTCTGTGCGACTGACGGATGCCCCTCATTGCGGCGCGTCTTAAACTCCTAGACTTCCCATTTCCAGCCTAGAGCTGGAGGGAAGCTCCACGCTCTTCATTATCCCGTGTCATTACCCGTATCCGTACGCCCTCGTTCCCTGCCATGGCGGTCGAGACTCTTCCTTGACTGCGCTCCAGTTATTAGGATGGGGGAGAGCTATCGCCGGTGCGGGGTGGGGGTAAAAAGAAAAGAGAGGGAGAGGCTTGGTTTGGTTGCCAGAGAGCTTCTCAATTTTTCCTTCGTTGCTGCTGTGTTGTGTGAACCTAGGGTGGTATGATAGACCAAAGAGTCTCTCTAACTGGTATGAAAGAGAAGATCTCAGGATAAGATGGAGCCAGGATGTTGTAATCGAGGAGGGACTCTAGAAGAGCACCAGAGTTGTTGATTACGACCCATTGACTTCTCTCGAATCGGCCAAAGTCAACAATGTTGAGTCCTCGGACGGCTTTCTCTCGCCCACGCATCGAAAATCGCAGTGGAATAGTTGTCCCAAGGTGTCATAGGCGCGCAACGCAGCGGCATTCTACCCGACTTTAGCGTCCTGTGGCCTATTTATCCAGCACTTTACCCGCGCCAATGGGGACATGCAAATTGGATCCGGTAGATGGGTTCTGGTGGGTTTAAGCAAAGACTCCAGAAAGATCTGGGGGCCCGGTGGGGTTGAATGGGAGACATATTCCCGGTCTTGGGTCATGCTGCTTCACCTCTCGGCCGGCTTGAGACTTACCGCTCCTTTTCCTTACCTCCATTCTGTTTGAAATTTGTTCTCTTATCACGTTGTCCGTGACCGAGCGTCTGTCAGGTGCTCATGAAAACTTTTGCTGATGCCTCGTGTTGGTTCGCGAGTCCCCATCGTTTCCCTTTTCTGTTGAGAGTACCTGAGAGGGCTAGACCGCGATCTCTCGCTCTCCATCCATCATTCTCCCATATAATGCATAGCACTTCTTTCGTGAGCATCGGGCACGTTGAAATAATCTGGTACGATTCTTGTAGACTTCGGGCTTGCTGCAACTCTGGTGATTCGCTCGTCTATCGTCGGCTCGATGGCAAAGGTCAGCATGCTGGAAAGTAGGCTTTGACCATCTCGCAGTAAGGTGTTCAATGCCTGTCAATTCGAACAGCGTGGGAGAAACCGCGATGAGGTGCGTGAAGTTATTGATGCCGATTCGATGCCGATTTCGTGTAGCATCCCTCGTCAGCATAGCGGCGCTTGATTGGGAAGTGCCTCGATATTTATGCTCCTGTCCCACCTGAGCCGTCTGGGCTCTCGGAACACCCTTCCGTCTGGCAGGTGCCCATCTTGGGACGCTTGCAGGGGAATCTGTCGATCTGGGGAAACAGCTTCCTGTCTGTCGAGTCCACAATCTTTGCCTCCGAGATCGCCCGACTCGGCTTCATGCACCACTGTCATGTCATGGCACATGGGGCTCATGTGGGCTGTTGACGACACCAGCATGTGCAACTCCCGGAGTCTTGGGTGGCAGATCCTGGGGCTTTCTCTGAAAGCAATCACCCGAAATCACAACCGTGAAGCAAGCCTGCAAAGCTGAAAGAGGCGAAAGCTCTCGGTTGACTCAAAGAATGTAGCCTGTACTTCTGCGAAGACTACTGTAGTAGATACCTAAGGCTTCCTGACATAGTGATCCCGGGAGTAACAAAATCAAACTCCAAGCTTGTAAGCCTCTTCCAGCAACTCCTTCATAGACCTCAGTTTGATATCAGGAAAATCTTGGGCGATAGAGTTCTCTACTTTGAAGTCAAAAACACCCCTTTCGAACATGAGACCGAAGATTGCAAACATGGGCTGTAGCTGCTCGTCGGAAATGTAAGGATAAGGTGATCTGTGGCGAGGCAGTCTCGTCACCTTTCCAGCTTCCAGAGTTTCAATCGAATCATAAGCTACGTCAAACTTGACACCCTTGACTGCTTCAGCGAGCTCGACGAGCTGATTCCATGTCAGCTTGTCGCCGACGAGATGAGTCAGTCTCCTTCTCCCACTTTGGCAGGGTCAGGGCTGCGGCGACGAACTTGGCCAAGTCCGATGTGAACGTCAACGCCACCGGGACGTTCCCAGAACCTGGAATGCCTGCCTTGTTGTTGACGACATCCACGACCATGGCCATGCTCTTGAGATGGCTTTTGAGGGGCGGGCACACATAGTAGTCAGCGAAGTATCCAGGGTACCAAGCCGAGAACTCCAAGCTGGTCTCTCCAAGCGTGTCGACGATGAGAATTTTGGGCTTGGTAATAGGCATCTCCTCCGCGTAATTATGAGAGAAAAGGTATATTAGTTTTGCTGTCTACGATGAAGCCTAGAAGATGAAGGCTTACTTTCTGCTGAACTTGGCGCCCCAGATGCTGGGAACATATCGTTTGGTCATCTCGGCCTGATCGGCAGCAGCGATCAAGTTCAACTCTGGCTGCATTGAAGCCATGTTTTTTAGGGTGGAGATGACCGTATGCACATTGTTTTCTTCCAAGACCTAGCAATATCGTCGGCACTGCTATATCGTCGGCACTGCTATAATTGACCGGCAGAATACGAGCACCGATTTCCTTCTCCCTGTCTTCATCCGCCTAGAGACTTGATTAGCGGGCGACCCAAACCAGCAACGTACAGGATCGTGGGTATCATATTTGTACCTTCCTGCTCAATACGATGACTGGGAACTTGCCATCGGCGAGAATAGCCTCTACGATAGCACGACCGAGATCGCCTATGCCTCCGGCTACTGCAATGATGGAAGACATAGCTGGAAATCGATTACTGATTTTGCACTGATCGCTGTACGAGTTGGGCTGGATGACATGCAGATGGGAAGTAAACAAGTTGGCCGACTATTGAAGGAACATTTTATGGTTTTCCTCGATTGGTCATTTACGGGCAGTCTACGTGCCGTGTCGCTGTCCTGCTTCGTCATGGAGATGTCTCCCCGTTCTTGTCCGCAGATCCTCCGCAAGTCCGCTCCAAGCCAAGAGAAATTACAGGTTAGGACTTGAATTTGAGAGGAGAGTTTCAAAACTCATTTTACACAGGTCATCGTAATTCACAACCTCATGAGACCTTTGAGGACACATGAAAGCTTGAAACCTACCGGCGAGGACCTAATTACTAGCTCGTGCCATGTCAGCAAGAACCCTTCATTCAGTGTCTCTACCAGGCACCGCTGAGTTTGATGGGCTTTGACGAAAGTTTCTAGTGAATGAACTTCCAACTCGTTTCCTCAGCAAAGCACCAGTGTACCCAAGCCCTCTCGGTATCACCACCCGTGGATCGCGCGGTCGTGCAGGTAAGTAAACCACAGGTCATTGACGCCTGGTGTCTCAGCGCCACGATAAAGTGATCAAATTCTCTGCCACCAATAATCTAGCTTCGCTCAATTCTGTGTGAAGGTTTGCAATATTTTCCATATTTGTGAGTTTGCTCGCCCAGTTTCTAGCTACTCGGTCCTAGGCGATTGGCAATACCGCCTGGCAACAACGTCTCCCTGTTGAATCGTCCGTAAAATACTTGTCTAGATCGGAGGGAGAGTTCGTTCCTCATGTAGTGACTTCTCAGCCCTGCACCCGACGTACTTGTGTACTCGATACCCTGTGAGGAGGTGGGAAATTCACATTAGTCACCCCTTTTCAATCCTACGTCACAGTCAGATTAGAAGTGTCCTACTGAGCGAAGAAATGAAGAGAATTGAGCTGGGGCACCAGCGCGAAACAAGGACCCTGGGCAAATGGTACGCATAGGGCTCATAAGGTGAGATTGGAAAGACCAGAGGAAATTGTAAGGTGCTAATTATTACAGAGTAACTACCCTCGGCCATGGATCTCAACGCCGCACATTCTTCGCCTGCACTGCCGAAGGAGCTCTAAATCCGCCGCCGTGTTGATACCGATTGTGATACCGCCACAATTCTAGGAGCACTAATCCAACCAGAATGTTAGTCGAGACCACAACAAAGGAATAGTCATTTGGATATGGGGAGGTTTGTCGTACGCATGCAACTACCTGAAGAAAATAGTTAGTATCATCAATATCTTGTCAGTTTCATACAAGGTTGTACTTACAGCACCAGGACCACAACCATCGGGCGCCGGAGGGGAGGAACAGTCCCCGCGCCAAATCGGGCGATCGTCAGAGTGCTCTCCACCACACTAGAAGGTTGCATCAGTAAGAGAATTTACTCTAAAACTCGTTCCAATGGAAGAGTGAAATCATACGCAGTAGAAGTGGTAGTTCTAGGGGGGGAAACTAATTAGCTATCACCCTCAAAAAAGATAATATGAGTGGTGAATTCTTACGAGGCCACAGTCTTGGCTTCCGGGGGCTGGTTGAAGGTGCCATAGTTACACCAAGCTGCCATTGACGGCGCAACGAGGCTAGCAGCGAGGATGATGATTTGGCCGCACTTCCTCTTGATTATTTGCAAAAATCGGAGAGTAACACAAGTCAATACTGCAAAAGAAAAGTGAGAGGCTCGGAGAGAGATCGCACCTAGCAAACTCGCGTCCTTTCAAAGAGCATATAAGTTGGTTCTAGGAGATACTAAATGTCTATAAAACTCGATATTTCGGCGTAGACCGAAGCATCACATGCGAGGTATCCATCGCTACAAGAGCCGGCGGGAGTTCACCTTTGCAAGTGGTAGGAAATATAACTATCCCACCTATCCCGGTAGTGTGACCCGTATCCCATCTCTTGTAACTCCGGCTCTATCTAAATAATCGTCGCTCTTTCATCCCTTCATCATCATTAATGTATTACTGCGTTTCCATGATAATCTCCCCCCGGATCCATCAGACCCACATTCAAGCAATTGCAAAGCTCAGCAACCCGTTGCTATAACCCAATCATCCAAGAGTACAGCTCTCTGCATCTTCAGCTACGAATGGAAAGTTCTACTGTATACCAAGATTGATATGACATAATCTCCCACAAGACTCCTTATATTCTCCGAGGCTACTACTGACGGGTGCCGCCTTTCGTCTACCTAGTCTAGATAGCAATGGCAGAAATATTGACACTCCTCACGACAACACTTACCAGGGAGCCGAAGGATAAGATATCTGACGCTGTTCTCCCACTTACCCGGGACCATGCATGACTCAACATGGCGATTGCCCAGGTAGCTGACTCAAGAGGGACCGAAGAAATTCACGGCTGTACAGATCAGTTTAGCAAAAACCTCTCTTTTATGGGAAGGCCGCGTACCTCGGATGACCAGCGGCGACTCATATGCTGCTTCTCCTCGAACCGTTTTTGCGCCAGAGGGCTTCGCGGAGGAGTGAATTGGTCGGCATTAGTAAAGTCGTCGGGAAACCAAGTAAAACTACATATCATGGGAGTCTCAGTCAACTTCACTGCACTTGCGTTTAAGATCTCCACGAGGCGTTGGCAGGTCACGCCACTTTTGTGTCAAGAGAATGAACGGCAATGACAGACACAATAGACATGGGCAAAAGCTTGGTCGATCTTGAGGAGAACCCTTTTCTTCGGCGGCTTCGTAGTCTAACGCGTGACGCGTACTAAAGTAAGTATGTGAGGAAGAGACAAGTCACGGAATGTGCCAGGCAGGAATGATGAGTTCATGGCATCCAGGGATGATGAAGAGCCAAAGCCGTGGCTCCCGACCAGAGAGAATAAATCATAGACTAAGGAGACCTCGTCCAGCATCCGGCGTATTTGCACGTCGCTGATAAATATGCATGACCCATTGCCACCTCGGGACTAACCGCTGAGGACCATCTCGCTATGTCAACTGGCCATGGTTGCAGCCGCGGATTGATGAGCTGACTTGACGGTAAGACACCAGGATGCAAGCAGAATGAGAGTTTGTAACCGGAGATTTCGTGGTCGGCTCAGTATTTAGCAAAGATCGGGCTGTCAGCCGTCCATCCGTATGGAGAATTGGGACATTCGGAAACAGAGCTGTCATCTTGAATAGTTGGGAACTTGAACAGCGTTCCACGCTTGACGAAAGTCTGCCCAGGTGGGGGTAAGTTTTTGATGTCTGTATGTTTCTAGCTCGAGTGGACTGGTAATGTGGTGGGGGTCATTGCTAGCGAGAGAACGAGCCCTCTCTGGTAATGGCGACTCATTACAAGTGCGAGTCGACATTCAGAGTCCTGTGAGTTGTGGTTAAAATTCATAACGTGGAAGAGCGATTGAGAATGGGCGCTGAGCAGAGATCGTTGCCTCCTACATTCATCTGTCCATGTGTCGTCTCTTGGATTTGGCGGGGCATGAAGTCAACAATAGGCCGTCAATCCAGATACCAACAAACCACTGGAACCTGTTTTAGGGCACCAAGGACTTGATTTCGTCAGAGGCAAGACAACGTCAAACTTTCGCCTCTAATCTTTTCCTTACTCTTCCAGACTGTCATACAACATATCTCTTGCTGGTCATCCGGCGGAGAACATGAAGTCATCACCCTGTCTCTGAGCTCTGAGCTGAGGTTGAGGCCAACGCATTAGGTAACCTTACAACTCAACCCCAAAGTGGCCTAGATTTCTTACTCACAGGCAGCCGTTCACTCACTCTCGGACGGGTTTGCACTGTAATTGTCCGTCAGCTCCACATCAGCGGGTGTTCGATTCAGTTAGCGATCGCGCGCGATGGCTCGCGATCCAAGGTTACACTCTAACAAAACGTCACAGCACTGCTGGAGCCAAGCCCCTGGGCTGTGTTCAAGGCCTGTTAGTGAGAACCCCAGACATATCCCTTCAAAGGCGCACTCGACAGCTGCGCTGTCAACCTCTACTTCCAGGAACGCAATCAAGTCTTGGTTCTTGCACCGAGCTTGCCCTGGCACTTAACTCAACGACCTTCATACAACTTGAACTTGAGACAGGTCGGCGACATGATTCCATGAAGCTGCACCCTTCCCAGTCATGTCCGATGATAGCATCACGTTCCCGCATGATCCGACGAGTGCAGAATCGCATTTCAACCAGCACGACCTGCAGCTTCTAGCACAATCCTCGCCCGAATCGCCTCTCCGAGTTGTTGCACTCGTTGACTACGACTCATTCTATGCCCAATATGAATCAGTCAGGCTGGGTCTTGACCCTTCCAAGCCTCTCGCAGTGCGCCAATGGAACGCCATCATCGCGTTAAACTACCCAGCAAAGGACCGCGGACTCAAGAGGACCATCTCGGTGGAAGAAGCGCGTCGACTCTGTCCAGACATCGTCCTGCAACATGTCCCAACTTGGAGGGAAGGCGATGATTGCTGGAGATACAGGGCCGACGTGCTGGACAACTTGACGACGGATAAGGCCTCCCTGGATCCATATCGCGACATGTCGCGAAGGACGATGAAGCTTGTGCGAAGGATTCTTCCGGCCACGCCTGCGCCTACCATCGAGAGAGCTGGGGTGGATGAGTTTTACGTTGACCTCTCAGCTCAAGTTTACCAGATTCTCACGGAGCGATTCCCTGCCTTGGGAACGCTTAGTCACAATCCCGAAAAGACGTTACCGCTGCCCCCGGTGGACACCTCGATGCACTGGAAGTCAGACAAGGTGATGGATCTCCCCAATACTCGTGACCCAGAATACACTCTTGATTGGGACGACGTGGTTCTGGACATCGGGGCTAGCATTGTTCGCAATATCCGCAAAGAGATCAAAGCGGAACTGGAACTCACCACGTCCGCCGGCATCAGCCACAACAAGATGATCGCCAAGGTCGCTTCTCGAATGAACAAGCCATTCGGCCAAACGACTATCAGGCGCAAATCCATCCCCGCCATTATGCCGACTCTTAAAGTGACCTCACTCTCTGGCCTGGCAAGGCAGCTTGGTCAGAGAGTCGTCAAAACCTTTGGGTCTGACGGCATACGCGACCTCCTCCAGGTCTCCCTTGCGGAGATGAGGTCGAAACTGGGAGCCCAAGACGGTCAATGGGTGTACAGGGCCATCAGAGGTGACGAAACAGGCCCTGTAAGGCCACGGAGTGAGGTCCAGTCCTTGCTAGCTGCCAAAACCTTTGTGCCAAAAGCCGAGAATCTTCAACAGGCCAGCAAATGGCTGCGAATCTTTGCTGCAGATCTTGAGTCACGGCTCCGCGACCTCGATCTAGACTCCGAGGTGCCTCGACGACCCAAGACTATTGCCGTGCAACATCATATCCGGGGTCGGTTCGGCCCGACGCGGTCTAAGCAAGCGCCGATCCCACCACACGTCGAGATCAACCGGGAAACCATATTTAACATGCTGCATGGATTACTCAAGGATCTGATAGACCACGGGGAGTCTTGGCCGTGCTTGGGTATCTCTGTCAGCATGTCAAACCTGGAGTCCGGGTTGCCTACATCTGACCCCGGGCAGCGTATTACGTCCTTTTTTTCTTCAAACTCTTCTGCTAGCCCTCGGAAACGGATCCGAGAAGGGGACGTGCCGAATAGGCATGCAGATAGTAAAAGGGTTCAAGTATCGAGCGATGCAACGAAAGACCCAGCACCCGTCAGATTAGCTACTGCAAGTACCTCGGCTCGGGCCATTCGGGGTGACCCAAGGGGCGAGCAAGAACAGCAATACTTGTGTCCTAAATGTGATGAGTTTGTTCTGCCAGAAAATGTTCTTGAGCATTTGGACTGGCACGTCGCGTTGGAGATTCAGAATCAGGAGAGTTGAGCATCCTCGATGATGGGAAACGAGCCTGACCAACCGATGTGATACGGGCTTGCACCTTGATCCGTTTACGAAAGCCACCCTCTCAAAGGTCTTTGAATCCTATATTCGGGGCTCTGAGGATTCAGCTTCTTTATCTCCAGACACGCGTTGGTAGTGGGTGGCGGTGGCTCAGGAAGCAGGGGCAGCACGAGCATGACCAAAGAATCTCGAAGCCGGTCTATTGGTACGGAGTTCCTGTGGAGGATTCACTGGGCTATTTACTAAGCGTTCTTATGATCTAGCGCGTAAAATCCATTCCCATATCTGTTTTAGTCACCCGGGCAGGTTGCATTCCACGTGACACGTAGTATCAAGATCTGCCGATAGGGCTGAATAGAGTATTACTTCAAACTATCGAGGCTTAGCTGTGAGAAGGTTTAATCAACGTCTACGGAACCTGAGAATAGTTTTCCAATGAGTTTCTTTGTCGTTTCAAGATGATGGGCATATTCAAGAGTCTTGACGAAGGTCACGCCACAGACTGATTCTGCACCCACAAGCTTTTGACACCTTATCAACATTGACTCTGGCGCGCTGAGGAGCAATTAAAGCACGATATGATCCTCGGATTCCGAGAGATCTGATCCCGGGCGAGAGTTCCCTGAAGCAGCCCCGAAAACGTCCAGCACTTTTCTCTTTCCTAAATGACAGACTTTGGGCAGCTTGAGACTTGAGTTGAAGCTCAAGAAACAGATAGCCACATTATTCCCCAGACCCCGAGGAGGAGATTGCCCTTTTTGGCAAGTGGGGGAGGGGCTTGCAATCCGCGGGGTTCACAGGCTGACGGGATGATGCCATTGCGCCGTTCTTTCGACGACTGGCCGTATGAAGTAAAACCTCGCCGAGGGCGTCCTTTCTAGACACCAACGGCCCCAGTTACCTCACAGGCCTCTCCAGCGCTTATACCGTATTGGAAAAGGATACAAGACTCGGGAGGGTTCGGTCCATGTTCGGGGTCCACCGTCGAAACCCATTTCATCGAATTGGACTCTAGTCATTGGCCGGCTATAGATGGAACAAGAGCTCTTGAGTCTGACGCGGGGTGAAATCGTGGGGGAGCTTGGTTCTATGTGATCAATGTCATGGAGGGGTCCCCCGCAGAAGCTGTAGAAGCTTTAAAGGCCAATGCTCGCCCTCATAACGATACCTTGCCACGCCTTTCGTTTCTTGAAGCTGAACCTTTGTTCCTGATTCTTCTCTCGTCGATTCCTCCCCTTTACCGTGACTAGCATCCGCCTCATTGTCGCCAACATGCCCAGCATTGCTCGCTTTCGCACGCTGTGGGGCATCTCCCCCGGCGACCATTTCGCCAACTGGATCGCTCTGTTCCCCGATCTGAAGACCAAAGGCTACAGTAAGTCTAACCTCGCGTTATCGCGACAACTTGTGAGGACGATCTAATGACTGACCTCTACCGTCTAGCCGGAGTCGAGATTGACTACAGAGACATCCCCGTCGAGCAACTACCCGAACTGAGACACATCCTCGACCAATTTGATTTCCAGCTTGTGGCACAGTAAGCTTCAAACCTTCACCTAGCCACGACCAGTCGGCCGCTCTAACACACCCAATTAAGGATCATGTCCTCATGGCCCGGGTACGAGGGTCCCAGACCACCAGGGCTGACACCAAAGGATCACCTCGCTCACTACCGCAAGCAACTCGAACGCGCGCAAGTTCTCAAGCCCATGAAAGTCAACGCACAGTCTGGAAGGTATGTCCCCCGACAGGTAATAAGTCGATCATGGACAAATGCTAAACTTCGAGGTGTAGCGACATCTGGACTCTCGATCAGTCGGTCGAGTTCTATCAGGGCACCTTCAAGATCGATGAGGAACTGGGGTTCGCGGGGCGAGTGACGCACGAGACACACCGAAACCGATCCATGTTCAACCCGTACGCGGCGAAGTACATCCTGGAAAGAGTGCCAAAGTGAGTAAACACTTCAAACCCGATGTAGTCCGGCACTTGTTCTAACAATCGCTACTCTGCCTCAGTCTTCGCATCACCGCCGATATCTCCCACTGGGTCGTCGTATCAGAGCGTCTACTGGACGAGTCAGTAGAAGACCAGGAGATTCTCGAGAAGGTCATCCCGCATGTAGGTCGGATGGAAACACCATGAATCCGGCGTGTAGACGATGGGTCTCGACACTAATGCCTCCGTAGATTTACCACGTCCACGCCCGCATCGGCACAACACAGGCCTCGCAGTGTGCCGACCCATCAGATCCAGTTTACAAGCCCGAGCGGGAGTTCTTTGAGCGATTCTGGACAAAGGTCATCCAGCATAGCGCGACTCGTGGCGCGGACTATCAGATTTCGTTTACGCCTGAGTACGGGTGAGTGCAATCAGCTCCTCTCCGTTTCAGCAAGCATGCGAGGTGATTGGAATCATACATACTCACATTCGAATCCTACACTAGACCGTACCCGTACCAACCCTACCATACATAGCCCGAGAGTGTACACCGAAGTCGCCGATACCGAGGGCCTTCGTCTAGAGGGAATTTTCCTGGCCGCCATGTAAACAAATGTCTTCCTACCCGGGCCAATCATAGCGGTCATGATTGTTTTGATATGAGGCAATACGCATACGAGAAATCATTCTTGGTTCGTTCACTGGGCACCATACATGCACTGGTTGTGGCCTTAGACTCGGTAGATTCAGACAACATCTCAATTCATCGGCACGAATTGACAATACAGAACGAAATCTAAGTCCATTCATATTGCTTTTGAATCATATCCTACTTTCTCAAGCTATCCCGAAGACAACTCAATACCCGCGCGTCTCATTTATTTCAGCATACCCAGGTACCTCGTCTCAATCTTCGTGTCTTTGGTCGCGCCCGTGACTCCAATCTTGACAACTTCACCGGGGACAATGTCAACCAAGTTATCGCTGAATACCACAGCATCATCCTCAACCTCCAACGCGACACCTTTGACAGGAACCTCGGCACTAATCTCAACCACATCACCTTGTTCCGCAAGCGTCGCCTTCAAGCTCTTGGGCTTCTGCAAGTGCAGATACTTGAGCGGCTCAGGCCAATTGACGTACCGCGCAATCTGCTTGCCGTTCTGAATAAGGTACGCCGCGACGACGGTCTTGGCCTCGTCGCCCTTTTGCCTCACGGGGACCTCAAAAGCGGCCATCTCCGTTGACCTGTTCTCAGGTAGGACAAAGCTCTTGTCAACAGTCTCATAGTACGTCTCCTCGCCGGTCTCGACGTCCCATGCCTTGACGAGCAGGTCGACGGTTAGGTCTTCCAGTTGCAAATTAGAGCCCCATATCTCGATCTGCGTCTTGGTTTCGATATCGACGCGCGTGTACTTGTCCTTGGGGTGCTTGTGCTCCGTCCGCGTGATGCCAATGGAGATTGGCGCCATCTCGCGCTTGACGGTGAAGTAGGCGTGCTTGGGTCGAAGGTAGTAGTCGCAGATGGCCCAGGAAGTCACAGGCCAGCAGTCGTTGATCTGCCATACCAGTGCTCCGCCGCAGTATTCCCTGCCGGGACCCTTCCACTGCCTCTTCCACAGTCTGTAAGCCGAGGCAAGACACTCAGCCTGCATCAGCTGCGTGCAGTAAACAAAGTGTTCCAGGGGATCGGGCGCGTAACGGAAGTTCTCTACTAGGTACAAAGCAATGCGGCGCTCGTGGCCATCGGCCTTGTTGTGGAAATCAACAGTCGAGGATTGAGGGTAGCGGTCCGGGTCCTCTTTGCCCTTGGGCAGGTACGCATCAATGGTCTTGACTGATGGGAAGGCCTCCATGCCAAACTCTGACACGAAGCGGCCAACGAGCTTGTCAAAGTTTTGATACTTTTCTTGTGTGCCGTGCCAGACGTTCCACTGGTGAAGATCGCCCACCGTGGGATCTCTGGTGTCCTCCCCACTCCAAGGGCTGCCAAAGTGGTAGTAGGTATCGGGGATGAGGTCCTTGCACGTATCAACAAGGATCTTTTCGTAAATGTATCGCGCAGGGAAGTCGGTCTTGAGCCAGCTCTCTGCGTCCTTGTTTGCGAAGTCATAAGTCAGGTTCTCGCTCTCTGCGTACTGGTAGTCTTCGTTGTTGCCCGCCCAAATAACGATGGAGGGGTGGTGACGCAGCATCTTGACGTTTTCTCTCGCCTCTCTGTCGATGGACTTCAGAAGCTCTGGCCAGGTAGGGTAGTTTCCGCATCCAAACATGAAGTCTTGCCATACGAGGATGCCGTATTCGTCGCAGGCATCGTAGAACTCCTGCTCCTCGTAGATACCACCACCCCAGACACGGACCATGAACTGATTGCCGTCTGCCAGCAGGCGGATCCAGTCGTAGTACCTCTCCTTGCTGATGCGGGGAATGAAGTTGTCTGCAGGAATCCAGTCGCTTCCACCACAGAAGATGGGCACATTGTTGACCTGGAAGAAGAATGATGTTCCCGGCTGCTCCTTGACGGGTCTCTGCACCAGCTCGACCTTGCGGATACCAATCTTCTTAGACAGTGTGTCGACCTCATCGCTGCCGCTGAGGAGGGTAGCTGTCACTGTGTATAAGGGCTGCTTCCCGTAGCGAATTGGGTACCACAGCGCAGGGTCTTGTATTTGGAAGGTCGCTGAGATGTCTGCGTCGTCTTTGGCGTCGATCGTCTCAGAGGCCAGCGACTTGCCATCGAGAGACACGTCGAAGCGGACTTTTGAGGCCTTTCCTTCGGTGGTGGCATGCGCAACGACCTTGGCACTCTTGAGGGAGTCGTCAACGGTGGTCTCGAAGTAGAGGTCGGAGAGACGGGACTCGTAAATCTCGAGGTTGATTGGCCTCCAAGGACCGCATGTCAGAAGAGTCGGGCCCCAATCCCAGCCCTGGCAGCGTTAGTACAGTCATTCTCGCAATGGAGGGCTTGCGGAGGGCATACCCAGTGGTATTGGGCTTTTCGGACAGCAAGTCTCGAGTTATCACCATTCCAGCATCCCCACTTGTGGTCAGGGTACTTCTCAACCAGCTTCCAACCCCGTAGGTATGCGCTGTCAAAAGTGATCTCGAGCTCGTTCTCTCCATCCTTCTTCAGGACAGACGTAACATCAACGCGCTCTGGTGTGAACATATTATCCGTCTCCAGAATCGTCTTGCCATTGAGCACGACGGTAGCAAAGGTGTCAAGACCGTCAAAGGCCAAGATGGCCTTGGCACCCTCAGAGATGGCCTCGGAGGCAAAGGTGGTCTTGTACAGCCATTGCACCTCGCCGATCCACTGCACGTCAAGCTCGTTTTTGCCAATGAACGGGTCGGGGATGGCGTTGTGGTGAATGAGGTCGAGGTGGACGTTGGTCGGGAACTGACTGACGGCAAGGAGCTCGCTGTCCTCCTTGTCAGCCTGTTTGAACTGCCACTTCTTGTCAATTGGGATAACGGTTCGTGATGCCATGGCTTGGAGCGGGCGGCGGTGGCTGGATGTGTTAGCTGTGGTAGAGCTACGGATGAGTTCCGGATGAACGCGCATTGCGTTGCGGGGCGAGAAGAGATGCTATACGGATGCGCAAAGATGCCAATTGAAAGAGCAAAGGGACCGAAGCTCACCAGAGATAAAGGAGAAGAATCCCGGGGTATTTGCAGACGCGCGCAAGAGCGACGATGAAGTCGGGGATGAGCGCACCGAGCGTAGGTGCCCCGCGGAGGATGGCGGGGTAGATAGGTACTGGTCCGGGACAGGGACGGGGGTGTTGCAGGGGCCGAGGGGGGCAGATCGTGGTGCTCTCAGGTACTGTGAGAAAGTCGAGGCAAGGGTAAGTAAGACAAGACACTATTCTTGCTCAGTCGATAGCCTCACGACAATTTGGAACAGCGGTGAGTAAGGGTAAATGTGTAGCTGTGAGTGGAAGCTATCAGAGCAACTCAAACAAAATGACCGTCCCAAGCGTGACAGGTTGGGAGGATGTGCCGTCTTCATATACTCCTCTCATCCATGCATCACCCTCTCTCACTCACTCACTCACACCAGACCAGGGAGCTCTCTCCACTCGAGCTCACCTCATCACCTCACCTCATCTCATACGTCTGCTCTTTGTAATTGAGCTTCCTCCAATTCGTATAGCTCGCCTCACCTCGGGAACGGCGCAGAGCTTCTCAAGCCAAAGGATCCCTGATGCTCGATCTACATGTTCAATTCCCGGGATGAGGAGCTGCTCCAATCTCGTGCTACTTGGCTCAGTCTGAACGACGGGACGACATCCGCCGAGATGCATCTCCATTCCCTCCATGCCCGATCCATGATCCAGGATACATTTTTTTCCACAGGATTTCCTTGGAAGCCAGCTCTCCCACACCTCCCACTCCCTCTGCTCTCACTTATTCCCCTTCCGGTACAAGCCAGGCACGCGCGGAGAATGAGGGACGCCTCTTTTCTCCAACGGACTATCTGTTCACTTGGAATGAGACGTTGTTTAAAGTGTGTGCTGCCCCGGTGTGGTTACATCCCTTGCTGGATAAAGTCAACCTGCCGGCGGGCTGCATTCGGAGGAAGCCACGCACATGGCTGCAGGACCAAGGGGCCTGAGTGAGGTGACCCTTTACCTCATGCTTCTGTTCAGATGGTTCAATTATGAGAACGTGCTTCTACGATGGCGATGGCGTTCCTCGCCGAGTTGGGCTGGTTCAAGCCTACCGACGGCGCAGTACATATCCTTGGCGAGAGACCGTTCCCATCACGCCGGTATCCTCTTACAACTCACCATGGCAAATCGGCAACTCATCCCATTCGAAGGTCTTTGTCTCAGTTCCCATAAGTATCGTCAACTCTCACCATCGGGGATATAAATCACCACCCTCAAGTGGAGAACCGCCCTCTTACCCCAAAAGCCTCCCCCAATTCCATCTTGCAGACCCCTGCTCACCTCGGTGGGGTTCGTTCGCGGAGGGAAGCCCTCCGTCTTCTCTATTGGGGATAGAACGTGAAAATCGCCGCATCATTCTCCGATGCTCAAAGGCCCGAGGATAGCCTCATGACGACCGGTAGACTCCACGTTGCCAGTATCTTAGTTACTGTCTTGCAGATTTATTGATTTCGAAGCACTGGCATTCTCGGCCGTGTTACAAATGGATTGCGACTCTGCAACTCGCCGTTTCAAGTGTGCCGTCCTTCTCATCCTGCTTTCTCAAGGTGGGCTTCCAGTGGGACGGATGCATTCCCGCCGTTCATCAGGCCCGTCAAGTCACGGCCAATATCAGACTTCAAATATTGCATTTTCCAACCATTCAGGAAGCCAAACCTCCGTCACAAGAGTGTTAAGATTGTCCTTCCAAATACAAATCAGATCATGCAAGCAGTTCCATGTTCCGCTCACGGTCAAGCCCGTCCAGGCGCCCGCAAAGCGTCACGTCACCGTCGCGAACACCAATCGCCTCGTGTGCATAACTATACCAAAAGGTGTCATTAATGTATGTAGCTCAGAAAACGAAGCGTGTATGTGTACGACCAGCCCCGACCTGGAAACGAGGTATCTATCCCGTAACGCCAGCTCCCAACTTCGACCCGTGAAGCGAACGTGGCTCCTCCGTCGTCAACCAAAATCAGATACCAACGCTAATCTCGGACCCTCGAGTCCAAAAGTGTCCCAGCCCTTTGATGGGCCCATCCCTTGGAAAGTAAGACTCCTCGCAAAACTCCACGCCCAAAGATACCAAGCAGCAAGAATCCAAGTTTCGTCTCTTTCTCCGGCACACACGCCACCGAACCCTCAGCAGCAGTTGCCACCTCTTCGTCGGTTCGACAACGTAAATACCTCTTCCCAGTCTCTCAGCCCCCAGTTTGCGCCGCTGCGCGTGTTTCGTCGGCCTCTTCTTCTGCTAACACCTCCCGCCGCTTCATCTAAAGTCGCGCCAGTCATGGAACTCTTGATGCTCGCGCCGTCGCTGGCTCCCGCATTCCATCCTCCTCCATATCCGTCTCCATACTGGATGCCGCTCATCGGGTCGTCCGGGTCAATGTCGCCCAGCTCGATCTTGGTAAGGATCATTCTAGCAAGCCTTGCAAAGATCTCGTCGACGTTTTCGCCGTTGAACGCACTCGATTCCATCACCACGGGGATCCCGACCGTCCCTGCCCATCTGTTCGCATCCGCATTACTGACTTCCCGACCTTCCGGCGCCTCTGTGGCCTTTTGCTGCGTGCCGAGCGACGGCAGACTTGTTCCCGTTGATCCGACGGAGCCGTTTGCGAAGTACGACATGGAGCCGACGCTGCTCGGTGTTGGCGGGGGGAGGCTTGTATCAATAAGAGGCTCGGACGCGAGATCGAGCTTGTTGCCCACCAAGAGGCAGGATAGATTCGGCGATGCTAGTGCGCGGGCATCGTTGAGGAAGGGCTGTAGACCGCGGAAACTGCTGTGATTCGTGACATCGTAGACGAGGATAGCGCCGGCGGCGCCTCGATAATATGATCGCGAGACGGAGCGGAATCGTTCGGTGCCGGCCGTATCCCAAAGCTGGTGTTTCTGCAGTCAGCATCATCATCATCCTCCTACTCGGCTGTCTTGTCGAGAGCCTTGCGGGCATACCTGAAGCTTTATCCGTTTCCGCCGTGATCCGGTGCCGACCTTGATAATCTTGCTTGCGAACTCGACGCCGATAGTCTGCGACGACAGGACTCTCCACTCGTTCTTGACGAAGCGGTGAAGCAGACAGGATCTGATATCGCGAAGAAGCGCCATGTCAGCTATGTGCATGTACCGGAGATGGTCGCGTGCTCCCCTCCGGGAGGGTTGATGCCACTCACTTGCCCGTCCCGCTCGGTCCCAGCAAGATAATCTTTGCCAGGTAGTCGTACATGCTACCCAGCTCCTGCGCACACCGTCAGCACCCTATCCCATATCATATTCCCCCTCGTTATCAGATCAGAGCGCATTTAGGTGGAGCCTCACCTGCTCGCCGGCGGTGCCGTTGCTCTCCTCGCTCGCGGCGCTGGAACGACGCGGTCTCGTCATCGTGGCGGTGCGGAATGTGTTTACTGCAGCGCGATGTGTTGTATCGGTTGGAAAAGTCGGGCGACAGCGGCGCACCAGCGATAAGGCTGGGGGGGAAGCTGAATGGCGGGAGGAGGGAAAGTCGTGCAGTTTGTAAGCAAAAGACGGTGACAGTTCTAGTTCGGGGGGCCGATAACGCGTTCAAGCGCAAGTTTCGATTCGCAAAAAGCAAAAATGCTAGGAATAAAGAAAAGGAAAAAAAAAAAGAATCGGCGGCCTCTGGGAATGGCAACGACGTTGAGGTCGCAACGAGGAACAAAAGGCGTCAGATCGGGTTTGTTGTTTCGAGTTGGGCAAGGGAAAGGAAAGTTGACGTCGGATGCTACGCTGAGGTGCGTTGCGCTCTTTGCCTTGTGCTGATTGCGTTGGTTGGCTTGGTGCAGCGAAGTGCGCTGGCAGAGGTGCTGCCCAGTTCTCTTGCTGTGTTCCATGCTGCAATGACGGCACACCACCACCAGACAACTGGGCCGGGCCTCCGCTGAGCTCCGCTGAGTCTGCGACATGGGATGGAGGCTCGAGCGCCAACGTCAACAAGCCCACCCACGTACGTGCCACGAGTGTGGCTTGCCAGAGTACGTGTCTCGGAGCCTTATCAAACGGCCCGGGTTGTGCTTCCATTGGTCGCAGTTTGCTTCCGACAGTACGTACTGCCTCAGGTGACCCCGCCAATCGTGGCTTGACATTCCAGAATGAGTGGAGGTGTACGGGGTACCTGGACCGAGCCTCACTCACCGGGACCACACCGGGCTGCCGAGCTTTAGTGGAGTACCCGCTGTAAGCTCTCACCTCGACACCGTCCTATTTGACCTTCTTTGATCTCTCAACTGCAACACATGTGACTTGATTTATACTTTTCACAGATACACATCGTCATGAAGATCGCAGGCCACACTTTTATCATCTCTGGCGGGTAAGCATCGCATCTCAACTCCTCCATCTTCTCTCCATGTCCCAGCTAGCTCATCATCCCTGATCACATGCCAATGACCACCACGCTAACTTTCATCCCATGACAGCGCGTCTGGCCTGGGACAGGCCTGCGTGGAGGACATATGCAAGAATGGAGGAAACGTCGCCATTCTGGATATGAATGAAGATAGTGGCAATGAGTTGGTGGCCAAGCTGGGCTTATCTGCCAAGTTCTTTGTCTGCGATGTCCTGGACACCAAGAGCATCGAGGCCGCTGTCCAGGGCACCGCCGCTTGGGTTAAGGAATCCGGTAAACCTGTTGGAGGCGTCATCCCAGCGGCCGGTGTTGGGAACCCTTCATCTGTATGCTTCCGCCCTTGAGCCTGAATAATTACTCTCGTGCATGTCTAACACACTCGAGCTAGATCCTCGACCGCCATGGCGAGCCCTTCGGCCTTGACGCCTGGGACTTTGTCCTCAACATCAACCTGCGCGGCACCATCGACCTCACCCGCCAGGCTCTAGCTCTCATGGCAAAGAACGAGCCCTCAACACCCGACGGCGAGCGCGGCATCGTCATCATGGTCGCATCCTCCGCAGCCTTTGACGGCCAAAAGGGCCAGGTCGCCTATGCTGCGAGTAAAGGTGCCGTCGCAGCAATGACCCTACCCATGACCCGTGACCTCGCTCGCTTCGGCATCCGCGTTGTCACCATCGCCCCGAGTCTATTCGAGTCAAGGATGACTTCCATGATGTCCGACAAGGTTCGCGCTAGCCTCGAGCGCTCCATGGAGTTCCCCGTACGTGCGGGCAAGCCTGAGGAGTTTGCGGCACTGGCCCGACATGCTATCGAGAACGTGATGCTCAACGGGACGGTGTTGAGGTTAGATGGTGGCATGCGGATGCCGAGTAAGATGTAGTCTAGTTGCGTTAAGTTAACACAGTCATACATGTTCGTGCACGACATGACAGCCGGTGAAAATAAAATGTACATCGTTTTTCAGGTGCTTGAATGCTGGAATGATATCCTTCAGTCCATTGATAAGTTTGACGGCATATCTAGTAGTAAGGTAGAGTTGGTAGTGGTTGTAGACTAGATCTTGTCCTGGCGCAAGACACATCCTCTTACACAGTTATACAGGTGCCCGGAACAGAACACAAGCGATCATTGGAACGAAAGTAACCCCTAAAACACTGACATATCCGCGGAAATGATCCCCAGCCAGATCCAGACAAAGCTGCGAAATCGTGCAGCGAATCACCATACGCATATCTTCCGAGACACCACGCAACCATCCACTGTCAACTTCCGCATGTCGGTAAAGTGCAAAGGTAGCGGCACAGGTGGAGATTACTGTTTCCAGAATCCATATGAGCATAGCAGTCGGGAAGGTCAAAGCAGCGACCCGAAGACATGACGAGATACTCGCCGTAGTCTCGCCACTGAGCAACTCTTCCTCAGGTGGGAATGGAATGAACGCGTTAAATGAGGCCCGGAGGGAGACACATGTCTGCCCCAAGATTGAAGTTGTCGCATAAAACCGTTGTAGCGATGTATCAATACCAGGTGGCTCGTCCCATGGTGAAGAGAGGCATCATGAAGTCTCCCTCTCTCTTATCCTCCTGAGACGTGGCTAGATCTATCCAGGCCAGCCTGAGAGGTGCGGTGACGATTGTGGTGAGTGTCGTTGTAATAACCTTTGGCAAACGGGCCTCTAGCTGGGAGAAGACAAGCGTCTGTGTTCTCATATAGCAGGCCCAAAGGCTAAGGGAAAGCAGGTGATTTGAGAAATATCCGCGTTTTCTGGGCGTTTTTAGGATGTCAGGGGGTGTGAAAGTGGTGATGCCCATGTGATCTAGCATCTCAATGTGCCGATGAACCCTCCTAGTGGGCAAGAGATAGAAGAAGGGGTACGGAGCCTGCCGTTTGAAAATCAGTGTACAATTCTTCGGTGGAATGATAGGATAGTACTACCATGAAGTTGATTGCTCGAACAAACCGATCATACAGTCCTAGGGCTGCGATTCCCTGACTCCCCAAGTTTACAAGATCCATTGTACAAGAGTTTCTACTACAGTATTAACAAAATGATGAAGAAACGATGGCGATCCTGCTAGAACTTGAAGCGCCTTTCGAGCTATTTATAATCGAGAATCATCGCCACTGTTCAGCCGGAGAGTACCGGGTCATCATCATGAGTATAGTTCACCCGGCACTTCAAGTGTCCGGCCGTGACTCAACATCTAGCGGTGGATCCCGCAATTGAGACGACGCCTACTGTGTCTCTACACGTAGCTTTCAACAAATAGGTACCTAGATTATGTCCACGCCAAGATGCCGGAAAGCCATTCCGATAGTTTAGACGAGACCGAGGAGTAGTTTTGCAGGCAAATTGCTCACGTTGGAAGTGGCAGAAGTGGCTCGAAGACGCTGGTAGCCTGGCTAGGTTGGCTGTGCTACCTCAAAGGGGGTTATCAATGGACTGGGCTCAAGTGCTGTTAATTCTTGAGTTATGAGCAACATCAGTTTACATCAGTGGCATAGCATGGTACTAGTGATTCGAAACATCAAGAGAGCGAGGGAAATCTTAAAGGGCGAGACAAACACCTAAACACTCTTGCCCACGACAACACTTTATCAATCAAATCCTCACCACTTTCAAGAAGATTGGAAAGAAAGTCCCTAGATGAAGAGAGCCTACTTGAAATATCGTAGAAAGACGAAAATAGAAGGGGCGAGAAAGATGAGAGCCAGTAATAAACGCAAGAGCTAGTGTCGCTGTCTCTAGAGCCCATAGTCTAGAGTCCAGAGTTCAAAGCCCAGAGTCCAGAGCGTATACTTCATCGTCAAACTGAATACATGGGTGACTGAATACACATCCTTAGATGGAATAAAATCACACGACCGACTATAGAAGGTACGACCAGGTCATGGCTGAGTGCTCCTTTCTACCTCTCAACACGCGTCGAGTCCTGCAAATATTTAATCCGCTCACACAAGACTGCCTCTGCCTCACCTTTCCCTTGCACCCTCACTCACTTTCCCAACTCACCCTCACCCACACACGTTCGGTCTTGCAAATATTTTCCTCATACACAATTGTCTTTGCCATTCGTCTACCTCTAGCGACCGCCGACAAGATGAGCGCCATGTCCTTTGGTCCTGGTCAGACCCTCACCACTGTCACCACTGACAGCGGCGACAGATTCCCGCTTCAACAGATGCCCAATGAGCTCATCTTGGAAGTTCTGCACCATATGGACGATAACAACATCTCGCTCCTCCCGATCTCGATGACTTGCCGACTCATGAGACGACTGAGTGTTGGCATGCTTTTCCGAGTCGCTCAAATATCCTGCGCTGAAAAGGACCTCCCTGATCGTGTGAGGGAGGTTCGACGGAATCGATCCATCCTTCGCGCCATTCGGTTTGTCTGGTATCTACCTACCTGGCATGGGTCTCTTGACTGACAATGACTTCCTGTTAGGACACTCAGCATCTACACAGAAAGTCCCCCGGCCTCGCGAACCCCCTCCAACTTTCCACGGATCCCAAACGTCAAGTTCAATGGTAGACCGTCAAATGCGACGGAGCTTGCCCGGATGCTCATCGCACTGCCCTCTCTCGAGGAGCTTCGACTGGACTTTCGATTCAAGGCAACAGTGTCTCTCATTAAGCCGTTTATTCGGCTTCTGAAAAGAGAGCCTGGCCAATGGAGTCTCACACATGTCACGGCCCTGACTTTTCCCGCCACGGCAGACCTCAGCTTCATCGTCGACGCCTTTCCCCATCTGAGAGCTTTGAGCTTTGAGGCGCCACTGAACAAACCACTGAATTCTATCAAGGGTCTGAGCGAGGTCGTGAATTCACTTGGGCCCCTACTCGTATACGTCCAGATTTGCAAAATGAGATGGGATTACAATGACTTCCAAGAGGTTGCGAGCATGTTCCCTCACACGACGCACTTGACTATTGGCGGGACCATGGCCTTTGGTGGTCCACCGACACTCCCGAATTGGGATCTGAAGGTGAGTGAATTTTTTATCCTCTTATCATCTCCCCGTCCTTGCTACAAACAACGTGAACACCCTGCTGATCGGTTTTGCAGGAAGCGACGAGACTCCTGAGACCTATGACCAACCTCAAGGTCCTTGCACTCAGTGATGAGCGATGCCGCTCTTCCTTGTCGCTGGATCCGATTGTGCCAGCTCATCGTCGGGCTTCGACGATCGCTACGAAGCTCCTACCCGCCATTGGTTTTCACAATGCCAGGTCCCGAAGAACAGACCAGGCATGGGGAATATGGCAGAATCTCCGGCTCCCTAAGCTAGATATTCTGTATCTTATGGACAGAACCTTTGAGGGGCATTGCTTTGTGCCCGTCAAGGCAATGGTCAAGAATAAGCAAGGGCAAGAGCAAGAGCAAATCGTCGACGTCAAAGTCATGGATGATCCGCTGGAGCCGGCCTGGCTTGACAGCTTTGGCCAAGTGAAGCCGTAGGGATTTTTCGAACATTGGAATGAGCTTGACATTTGCGACACACCGTTCTTTCTACGTTTGCCTGCCCAAGCACCTGATAGTTGGCCTACTAGAGGCGACAATGCTGTGCGATACCGGGTAACAAGGGCAAGTGAAGTGCAGAGTGCAAAGTGCAAAGGGGTACTAGGGGTACTTGGGGTACCATGGGCATAAGGCACAAGGCACAAGGCACAAGGGTACAATGCGTAACGGAGTTTAGTTGAAATTGGTATTTGATTTGGCAAAGACGTCTCATGATCTTGAATTTTCACGTGAATCAACTGTGTATCTGGACTCCTGTGATTGTCATGTCTAACTGCTGGACCTTTCAGAGCAAGAGACATATCCCGAGCTTATGACTAGTTCTTTATTCATGTTTGGCTCACTTCTTTCCCTTCTCCATCATTCTAATTACCTCAGATCCTTTGAGGAGACCATAGGTGTATGTGTCGGATTGGAAGTCGAATTCGGCCGCGAGTAGGGGCAGAGCATGGGCCACCTCGAGGGGGTACACTTAGACGTCGACTACCCACCCAACCTCCGGTTGAAATCTCCCTTCTATTACTCCTTACGCAGAATCAATCAATACAGAGATATTGATACTTCGTCACCCCCAGGACCCTACGGTTCGAACCAAATTCCCTGTGAAAGGAATACCAACAGTATGGAAAATGCCTCTCTTTGTTGATATTCAAGTACCCAAAGCAAAGCAAAGCAAAGCAGATCAGGGTGAGTTAATGCAAGGTGAGGACAGGACACACCGAATGTGCCTGCCAGCTCACCTCCCACCTGTCGCGGGAAAGTAAGATAGGTACCTTCCCAAGGCGGTTCCTGCCTTCGTTTGCCTTTTTTGCCCTGAAGAAGGAGCCTCCCGTCACTTTCCCATACTTTCCTTCCTCAATTTCCTTCCATAGACTTCCATTGCCAACCTGCTTGCTGCGAGGTTTTGCCGGCCCTTAGATTGTCAAGCCTCCGCCACAATTCTTCATATTTTCCGCTCTCTGCACACTTCCTCGAGTCCGCCCCTTTTGAGACAGCAAACTTCCGATCGCTCTATATTCAGCTTCCGCTAGTCATCCATCTATGACAAGCAATCTAAGAAGCCACTAGCCGGCGACTTTCGTGAAATATGACATGATGGTGCCGTTGCGATCTGTCGCAGCGCCACACGTGGCGCTGCCGGTTACTGCCGTACGATACCGCTTTCCACAAGCCGATTACCCGTCTTGTACGGTATATAGATATGACCCTCATACGGATCTTCCACTTAGAGGAATCAAGCCACTTTCTACTATACAAGTCTTCCACTTGCTACCTCGCTTTGTGATACGATCTTTCGGCGACGTCTTGGCCTTTCCAGATATGATCTTTCGGCCCTTGACCTGCTTGACACCAACTCGCGAAGCATCCGAAAGATTCGCTACCACGACTGAGTATACTGTAGATGGTCGTGCTGTTGTGCTGGGCCTTCAGTATTTGCCTCGGGTATGATTTTGGGGGCCTTTCTGGGCCTTCCTCTCGGACGTTTGCCGTTCTTCTCGGAAGTTTCATGGAAACCAGGCTGAGTAGCACTGGCTGAGGTTGTGGAAGCCAATCCAGTCACTGCCGCTGATTCAGAGGCGTGAGATTCCTCCATGGCCCCCGATTGACCTAGCGTTTCGCCTCTTGACGGTGGTGCTTGCAATGTAGAGGAATCGACATCACACGCCCGCGCCGATGTCTCTGTCGACAAAGCATTGTGATTTGCGACGGTTGCTGTTGATAAAGGGGCCAACATGATTTCATCTTCGACCACTTCGCCCTTGACGACTGCTTCTCCTTGACTTTTAGCCTTTTCTCCTGCAACTCCGCTGGGTTCCACCCGTTGCTTGCCCTGACGACCGTTTCCCTTCTTCTTCCCACATCGCGCCCACTTCACTTGCTCGTTCCCTTCCCCGGGTGGCCGAGATCTCTTCATGGCCTGGCGTCTGGGGCATCCAAAGATCACGTTGCCGTAAAAGTTCCCAGTCGTCTTCTGTGACCATCTGAAGAAATCTCGGACTTCTTGAAGGCGCCTGTCGATCGTTTTCTCCGACTGGTGTTCTGTTCCTTCTTCAGACACCGCCAAGTCCATGGTTATGCTCGCAAGTTCGATCACTTCCTCCTTGGCCCGAAGCACCGCAAGATCGTCATCGAAAACGTCGTCCCTGGCGCGACTGATTTCCTGTAACAAATAATCTCCCTCATCACAAAGATCATCTGTGGCAACCACAACTTCTCGGAGGGTCCTCTTAATGGCTTCGATCGTGGCCTCCGCCTGAACGACCGCCCTCCTCACTTCAGTCTCTTTCGCGAGAGGGTCTTGGAGGCGCCGCTGGCTGGCTTTGTGCTCTAGCACACGATCTCTTGCCTTCAAGCAGGCGATGTGAAAAGTGTGCAATGCGCACAGGTGCCAACGAATGGTGTTATGTCGGCTGAGCCCGCAGTGTGGGCAAGGTAAGGTTGATTCCATTCCGATGGACATGGGCAGAGGTTTCTTTGGACAACTCGTCGAGGGTGGAACGATGAGGATTGGCTTGTTATTGTTACTGGGGGCGACTGTGCTGTTCCTATTCCGAATGCGCGCTCTGAGTGTTTTTTGATATTTCTGATATGCTGATGATTATAGAGAGAGATCGCTCGCGTGAAGAATGGAGATGTCAGTGAAAGTTAAATTAATCACGTCGTTGTCGCGACAATCTCGCGCCTCGTTTAACGCGACATGACGATCCCGCTCCAGCAGCGGGTTGGCACCCAGCTTGAAGCTCAATGGCAGGGTTACTTGGCCCTCCTATCGACATCAACAGTTCAGCAAGCTGTCTGATGCACCATGCTTGCGTGATAGTTGAAGAAGTTGATTCACCCAGGAAGGCGTGACAATCGCTCTAGGTAGTTGTTCAGACGGAGAGTGTATATCATACGACGCCCGAGTCAATGCTGCACAGCACCAACAAGGCCCCTGGTTTCTTTCTTACCTAGAACATCAATTTTCGCTCTAAACAACTACCTTTTTTTCTACCTAGCTTCCTTTCAAAATGCATCTCGAGCTTAAATTTATTAAGTATGCCCTAGACGCTAACGCGAAGAAGATGGCGTCATGGGGACCCGCTGATGATGCCTTCCATATCTCGCGACTCATCAACCATGTGGGTTGGCCACGAAATGAGGATTGGCGTCGAGTTGTCATAATTATTGACAGCATAAAAGTGCCCTGGAACAAGAACCAGAGAGGCTTCGTGGTGTACTGGAATCTGTCAGACGAGCATGGTGCGAGAACTTCAGGGGAATTTGAGGGGCTTCAAAGCGGCCAGGATGAAGGCCAGCAGGCACCGCAGATGGAAAGTATACGTTGCACTTATGATGAGTTGTGAAAGCTGATGGAGGAAATGAGAGAAGCTTTCCAGTTGTTTGAGGACTGATATACTGAGGTGCTTGAAGGGATTCCTACTGGTAGATCACGCAAGAGAGACAAACGATACCTTGATCAGCAAACATTAATCAAATCTAGGCACCTGTAGAGACAATTGCTACTTCGAAAGGAATATACAGAGCCAAAAACTTCAGCCTTAGCATGAAGAACGTCGTGGCTCCCATCATCACCGGTCTGCTCCCACACAAAAAGTCCATCTAGTCCTCTCCGCCTTCTGAACCTCAAAGCTTCCACCATGACCACTGTGCCCAAAACACTGCCTAAACGACCCTGGCAGCAACGTCGATATACAGGTTCTGGACCACTCCTTCCCCTTTCATCACTCTCACTACCTTCATTAAGGGGACCATAGATATCTGTCAACTCCCTTGTTTGTTTCTAGTTGTATCACGGAGCTATCAAGCACCCAGGGTAGCTGAGGTGTCCTAGAAGTACTCAGACAAAGGTAGTTCGAGGTAAAACAGGCTAAGGTATGTAGCCTTTGCCCTTTGATTCTAGGTATCTTACCTTAGGTGTTGGAAGGCTATGGTAACTTGCCTGACGCTGAATGCCTGCTATGCCTAAGGTATTTCGCTTCTCCCACTTGCCTTGGATAATACCCTCCAAAAGTGGTCGCTTCTTGCATCTACCTTAATTCTTCCTCGACTTCGAATAGGAGCCGCACCTTCTTCTCGCTTCCTTCGTCAAAGTGGCCCAACACACTTGCTTCCCTCAAAACTTTAGCTCAATTGCCAGATCTTGCAAGCCCAGTTCCCAATCATTTTCCCCGCGACACTTCCTTGAGTCCGCCCTTCTCGAGGCAACTTCCACTCAACCCACCACCTTCGACCTCCAACTTCCTCAAGCCGTCTATCCAAGAAGAACCCAAGCCCGTGATGGATATTGCCGAAGAAAGCGGCGATACCGCAACCGAAGCGGTTGTCTCTCCCCCCTCCTTTCGCGTTTGCCTCGTTACCTTGCCTCCAGAGCTGCTCATCGAAGTCATCAAATTTGCAATGCTTTCCAAAAGCCGAAGAGGCGTCTACTTCGAGAATCGAAACACTCTCAAAGCAATTTCACGGGTCTGCAAGCTCCTCCGTGTTTTTACTATCTCTTTCCTCTTCAAGACTGTCCGACGAACGATCAATGAGGACAAGATCCACGCGCAACTCCAAGCCATCAATGAAAACGCGTTGATTCTGGGTTCCATACGGTAGGTCCAAACCCGATTATCCCCTACACTGGCTTCAGTCTTCCTTCCTTTGATATGGCTCTATGTTCTGACATCTCTCAAGCTACCTGTCTCTGTGTACCCGAGGCCCCGAGTGGCCTCCCAAGAAATGGCGAGATCACTACAATCCATCCATTAAACCATGTTCGAGAGCCACAGCAGCACTTCTCGTCAAGGTCCTACGCAAAATGACACCGGAGGAAGTCCGCATTACCTTCCAATGCGGTAACAAGTCCATGGTTGCCCACTTCCGGGCAGAGCTTGTCAAGCAGAAGGCACGCCTGCAATCTGTCCGATCTTTGACGTATCCGTCATCGGTCACCATCAATTTCATCCCTCAGACATTCCCAAACCTTCGTTATTTAAGCCTCAATATCGACGGCTCGCCTATGCACACTGCCGGCCTCAGAGTCATCGCCCCGAAGTTGCAAATTCTCGCAACGCTGGAGCTCTACAAGGCACATTGGACTTGTAAGGATATGGAGGAAGTCGTGGAGCTTTTTCCATCTATCAACTACCTGCTCATTGACGGCGAGTTGAAGTTCACTAGGGTTTCGGTAAGTTTGCGAGCGTGCCTCACCACTATCTCTATCAGCATGTCCTTTCCATTAATGTTACCTCCTTTGTTTCTCATGCACACTTGCTGCCTACATCAAGGCAGACAGTGGTCTGCAGACAACTAGTGTCTAATACTAATGACGTGCCATACATGTAGAGTCTCATTCTAATCTTCAGACGTTACAGTCATTTGGAGAAGCTGGCTTTGACTGAGGTTCCCTGGGTCTATCCACCACGGGGACTGGTGGGTGAAGCCTTTCAGAAAAGGATCAAAAAACTTCGGGCTTCCCATCGTCTTCGGGAATTGCCCGGGGTGAACGCAATTCAATTCTTCCATCAGTGCAAGTCCCTGAAGGAACTGCTGTTGAAGGAGGACATGGACTCGAAAGTTTATCAGTCAGTCGGGCAGGGTCGTGACGTGATCAAAGTCAAGAGAAAGAATCGCAACAAAACTGAACTGGGCCGTATCAAGATGGGCTGGCCGGTCATTACCAATGCTATCTCGTGGTTTGCGAAGGACAAGGTTACCTTGAGACCGGAAACAGCAACCAAATAGGTGGTAGAAACTCGTGTCCAACGATCAGGGAATTTCCATACCATTATTCACGTTTAACCTTACTCTCGCCGGACAGCACGTCGAGGGCAAGGATCTTCTATCAAGTGATTCTTTACGGCGGATAGGAACATGACAAGGCTTGGACGGTCTTCGTTACTATATGTAAGTGCCCATGGATCGTTCATAGTCCTGACCAAATAGATCCCACCTGCTCCAGTGGCCATGTAAGAAAATGTCGGTGACTATCCCCAAGTATCGCGTAAACGCCATTGACGACCTGAAGAGACCATCCCTCCATGAACCAGTGATGTTCCAATTGCTGCTGCAGAACAGCATAATACCCGAGAAGAACCAGTGGCACGGCTTCCCTTCTCTCTATAGACTGCACAAAGTCATCTTTGAGCACATACAGCCAGCCGTAAATGATGGAAGGGATTTGTTCGTCGTCGACTTCTGGTCCTACAGGCATGAATAGCTTGCGGTAACATTCTTTCAAGTGGGTTAAAGCAGGTCGATGAATGCTTTCTTCGACGGCACACGTCTCATCCACGAGCTCTTCGATCTCGGCTAGGGGCTTCTCCCAGTGCAGTACAAGCGGTGGAACGCTAAGAACTGAGAGTTTCGATTCGTTCCATGTCGAACTACCACAGAGTAAAGCTTGCGATGCCTCTTTCCTAATATTTTGTATCCCTATTGTACTGATCACGATCTTCACCCCCCTCATCAACGACCACCACGAAACTTGGTCCTCCTCGGCGTCAAGCAAGATATTGCCTGGTGACGGGTCTCTAGCAAAGGAAGACAGACTGATTAGGACTGTGGCGTAGTATAGTGCCTGCGAATTCTCTTCGCTGAGTTTTGCAAGCATGGCGGTCAATTCTGGAGATGCTGCTGCTGCATAGTCTTCTGCTAGGCGGTGATAATATCCCCTTTGGTCGGGTTTTGTTCGGGCGAGGTGGCGGGCGGTGATTGATAGAACCATTCGCATCACGCAGTCGTACTTGAAGCCAAGGGGCGGAACTACATCCCGGAAGATTTGGGGGTCTCCTAGTGTTGTCGATGTATGACACATGTAGTAGTGTAGGAGTTCGAGGCTCTTGATATCGAGAAGACAGGCATTGCGTAAAAGGGGATCGATGTGACTTGATGGCGTAGTAGTCTGACCGGATTCTGATTCCATGTCCAAATCGGAGGCTGTCGGGGTAGGTAGGTCTATGGCAGGTTCCCTTTCTTCGTGTTGTCGTTTTCGTTTCCCTTTTCCATGACGTTCGTCGTCCCCCGAGGGTGTAGACGTCTGTCTTTCTGTGGATGTAGAGAGATAGTCGCATCTCATTGAGAATCTTAAGCAGTTGGCGCACTCGGGGTGGATCTCATCGCACTGTAGAGCAAGAAGGTCAGCTCGAATGAAGATCAGGGCGAGGTTTCCGGGGCGACTTTGGTATGATGGGTGTAGTTGGGCGGACCTTGACTTTGCGTCTCTTGCAATTCTGACAGCCGTTTCTAGACTTCTTGTGCGATCGCCTCTTATTTTTTCGACATGACCCGCAGTAGCAGCCTCCGGCGCGGGTGGTTGTCGAGGAGGAGCCCGAGCAAACGTCGATCTCTTCGCCGGCCATAGTCACCAGTGTATGTTTCCAGTCTTTTAATAGTTCAAGCCTCCAAGTAACAACGTATAGACGATTGTAAAGGTTTGTCCAAGGCTATTCAGGGCACTTTTCTGTCGCGTTGGTGAAGCTTGAGACGGTGCTCACAGGTTGGCGCGACTCGCATGCTGTGGGCGTGCTGCGTCTTCGATAGGATGTAAGCTCGGTCTCGCGTTCCGACGACGGGATGTAGTTCCGTCCTGAAAATCCTATAGCAAAAGGGTGAGCAGAACAACCTAGCTTTATTGTGGTTGAGAGAAAACAAGCCTTTGGTTAGTTCGTCGTATTGAATACGAAAATCCTCCGACGGGAGTAGATCATTGGATGGCCTGTCTCGGGTTCCCTACCGTTATTCTCCACCCACATGAAGTCAATGCCATAGAAACATCCACGGGCTTGGTCTGATTGGCTCGAGGACATTATCGCACGAGCCTTTAATCCATGGGAAATCCTTCGAGACATCTGAGGCCTAGCGGGTAGCTCAGGTTACGTTTACGTGTGCTTTTTGGGCCCGGGGCGCAGAAAGGACCTCAAGTTCATGGTGATTGATAATTTTGTCGCGAACCGTCGCTGACCTCCCGTGCTCGAGTCGCATTCGGCTTCTCTCTTGACCTCCAGAAACATCCGGATGGAGGCCACCATCTCCCATATCTTGTATCCGTACTTGTGCCCTTTAGGTTGGCGTTCGTGTTGCATTAGCTAGGCAGAAGGACGCCGATTCAAATTACATCAATTCCGAATGGCTCTCCCCAGGTGTGTGAGGTGTAGACATCCTATGTAGCATCGACCATCTGTTTCATCGCAAAGTGTTGGCGGAGTAATGAGGTGCACACCAAGAACATCAAGTCTTATACGAGTTTAGGTTTCTTACATGTACTAGTAGACAGGATAGCAATTGGAATTAGTAGCGGTCCATCAAACCCAGGACATCATCCTCACAGCAGGTTGCAAGAGCCCAGCCCTTTGTCTGTTTCAGTGCCTGTCGAAACATTAAGTTTGGTTTGACCTTTTGGTGATTGAGGCTTGTTCATCGCGTTACGAAGAAGAACTATGACAAGTTTCGTATTCAAGCCAGAACATTGTCAAGAGCATCGCCTGCCTGCCACCTTCTGATGTTACCCGCCTGTTGCTCATACCACGCGTTCAAGGTACTCTCCTCGACGTAACCCATGTGAGGTGTCAGAAGCACCCTGCTGCGACCATCACGACCCCATTCGGTCGACCGCCACTTACTGTCCACAGGCAACGGCTCGAGGTTGAACACGTCCAAGGCACAGCCCCTGATCCCGCCCTTCTTCAAAACGTCTAGGAGATCCTTCTCTACTACGAGGGGACCGCGGGAAGTGTTGATGAACAACGCCGACTTCTTCATCTTGGAGAGGTCATCCGCATTGATCAGTCCCCGAGATCGGTCTGACAGTACAATGTGGACGCTGAGAACGTCAGCAGTGCTGAAGAGCTCCTCTCTGCTGACAGCCTTGAACGTGCCCACCGGCAAGCCCTCAGCCTTGGCTTTCTCATTGGCAGCTTCCTGTGTCAGATTCGTGCTCCAAGCGATGACATTCATACCAAACGCCAAGTGCATGATCTTTGCCGTCGAGACTCCGAGACGGCCGAGTCCAACAACACCAAACGTCTTGCCAGTCATGCCTATGGCAACGTCCGTCTGCCATAAACCAGACTTGACAGCCAGGTCGTCGGCAGCAATGTTTCGTGCCAGCGAAAGGATGAGAGTCACGCAATGCTGAGTTGTGCTATTCGTGCCAGCCTGCTTGACTGTCGCCTTGTCCACGGTACCAGCGACGGGGATGCCACGGTCCTTGAAGGCGGGGAGGTCGAGGCCGTTGTTACGCAGACCCGTGGAGAGAAGAAGCTTGAGGTTAGGCAGTCTTCCGATGAGTTCTTTGGGAAACGGGGTGCGTTCCCTCATGGTACCTTGTCATTCGTGTTAGCCTGGGTTATGAACCGTGTGAAACACCATGAAGGCAACGGGGATATTGCCATTCTATGTATGAGAATGGGGCATCATTACATAGGACATCGAAAGGCTCCAGCCTCGAGACCAATGCATCCTTGGCGTATTCAGGGGTCTCGGGATGATTGTAGGGCAGCAGGGTGTCCTTGAACTGGGTGACATTGAACAACGACTTATCCAGCTTACTGAAGTGGGGTTCCGAGAGGCCCTGGTAGTCGTCCAGGACGGCGATCTTGAGTTGCGTGACCTGAACCATGGTTGCCAGGTATCTAGACGAGGCCGAATAGCTAGCGGGAGTGTAAATGCGTTGTCCGGGATGCAGGGATCCACGGCGAGCGAACGACGAAGTTGACCGGCTGAAGGGGGTCGTCAGAGTACTGATGCGGATCGGGGAGCGATACGGCCTCATACAGAACTTGAAGCGACGGAGTATCGACTCGAGGAAGCAAGATAGCGAGCTAGTTTTCCTATTTTCAGGAGGAGGCTTGGTGATTTCAAGGTGTTCCGGGCGACGGTGACTCAATTCGGCATCTCCAAGTCGGCTTGGGAATCTTGGCGGGGCGTATGTGGTCGGCGGCTTGGAGGCGAACGTGCATATGCAGCCTTACTTGACAGGATCAGGCAATTCGATTAAGAAGCTGGTCAGACAATGGAAATGAAGCTTCCGAATAGAGGTAAGCCCTGCACGAGGTGTAGTTGGACGAGGCGTTGTTCTCTCGCGACGTCAGTTGTCGAAGTCACGAATAGCTTTCAAATCACTCGTAGAGCATCTAATACCCCGGCGGAGGGGCAATACATTAGCCACCCAGAAGACGTCTTCGTGGGGTAAGATGAGGGGAAGAGACCGATCCGGTACCGAAACCCCGAGTCTGTGTTCTTCGGTTTCTAGAACAGTAGAGAGTTGAGAGCGTTCCATCGACATGACTGACTTGTTAACCACCTATCGATAATTGTTTCTCCTGTTCACAATGATCGGCACGCATTCGACCGCCGCGAGCGCCTCATCTGACGGCAAGAGCCTGTCAAGAGTCGAGACTCAAGCCTAAGTAAATCAGCGCGTCGGGACGCATCGGCATTCAGGCCGGGATTTCGCGATTGACGAATTATCTAAGCAGCTCTAGTCATAGTCTTTGCTAAGACAGCCTGGCTATCTCATAATCTGGCATGCTTACGTACTCTTGTCTCTTTCTCGCCCACATTCCTGGCCCCCAATCTCTCCAGGGTGGTGGCTAGACCACTCGGTGCCCTCTGGAGACTCTCCATCGCGCTCACTAGTCATGGGCCACCCATGAGGGCCAACCTGGAGTTGGGATGGAGATTGCCCGGAGGTTTGTGGAGTTGACGTTTATTTACCCAAACAACGGCGTCTAGCTAACCTTGCGCTCCCCAAGTCCCTGACCGCTCCGTTCTGGGGACAATGAACTGAATTTTGAAGACTCAAGAGGGTCTCCTCCTCCTCAGTGTTCACGTTGTTTCTCGGACCATTGCGAATGACACCATCGACTAGCGTCCCACCAGAGGAAAATATTTGCTAACAGAATTTGACAGCTTCACCAACAACTGTAGGAGGATGGCGAACGCCGGGCAGTCAAACGGAGGTCGGAGGAGAGTGCCTATTATTGCACGACGCTGAGGTGCTCACTCGAACCCTACGGAATGCCAATGTCCGTCTTCATCCCGTTCGGCTCCTCGCTTCCTGTGTTGGCGTGTCTGGTTCTGAATAACAAGAAGTAGGAACCCTTCAGAAGTTCCTTGCCAAGCAACCCAAAGCATCCACCGGTGCGCACCAAGTCGGTTGATCGGTTGGCCGCTGCCAAGTCGGTCCAACTCGACTGACAAACGATACTTCTCTGGTAGGTTGGTTTCCGGTGGCCAGGTACTGCATCCTCTCACCTGATTCTGGAATCTGTATTCCTTGTTGTAGCTGATGATGAGATTTGCCTCTCTTCTGATGAATTGTAAGTTTGACCACAGACACCATAAGAGTCAACCATCAGAGTGAAGGTGGTCGTCTATCAATGATGAATCGAGATTGACCCTAGGCTGCGAGGGGCACTTACTATGTAGCGTAGGTAGGGTCTCAGTCGCCGCGCTCTTCGCTGATCGCTCGTACAAATGTAACGTGATGTCGACAACAAGCTTTGCCAGCCCTTTCGGCCGTTCTCTCCGTGTCTCTCGGCTCTGCTCTCGGCGCTGCCGTCTGTTCTTGGAGCCTGAAGGCCGCTGCGCCATTGCGCCCATCCCGTCGCGGCGTCGCCTTGACTCAACGCTCTCACTGTTCTCATGGAGCGCCTTTCAAGCGTTAAGCCTTTGCCGCCGCGAGCCTCTGCTAGCCTTCCAGCCTTCCAGCTAGGCAAAAGCTCGGCAAGACTGGGCATTTGCTGGGCAAAGCTGTGCGGCGACAGAAACAGACGCCCTGATAAACCTCGCCGCACTCGAGTCTTACCGCGAAGCGACATGGCTCGCACGTTATGAGAAACTGGCGTTCGGGGGCGCGCGGAGAGTTTCCAGGGCCCTCTGGCCCTCGTTCAAGCCCCCCCGGACGTCACCTGCGTCGTGCTAACTAGGGGACCGTGGGGACTTATCCTCGCATTCTCACCCGTCCTACCCGTCACCTACGACTCCATCGCCGTACAGGCGTTCGTCCCAATGGAAGATACCGCTCCTACACCCTCTCGTTCTGTGTGGCTTGCAATTAATCTGGATTTCGATGTTGCCTCGCGACATTCGATTTCAGAAATCGATGGCGTAGACCAACGGTATGAAGTTGTGAGTTCATTAAAAGTGTCAAGGTGGAGGTATCTACTGTACGCTATAGCTCTTGAGCACAAGAGAAAGAACTGTGTAGACCATGACCATGAGAACGCAATATGATCATCGGTCAAGCCTGCCAACCCGTTATCAGGACGACTTCATGTCTAAATGGTGGTCTGGGGCGAGCGACTTACGGGCTTCATCCCGCCCTGGACTGGACCTAAGAGGCTACGATGTTCAGCGGCCAAGAAGGGTGAAGTCAGTGACCATGATAGCGTAAGATCTCTCGTCAATAACGCCTCTATTTCTGGGCGTACTCCCTCTTGAGCACTAGCAGACACGAGTGAGGCAACTCAGGCAGGCTTCCATTCGCCATTCTTCTTATCGGGAGTCCAGTCAGCCGTCGGTTGGTTGAAGCGTGAAGAATTGGTGGGAGGGCTGGTTCGTGTGACATTGCCGTGCTGATTGCATGCGACATCCCGCGTCGCACATGCTGTGAGTGGTGCGCCCACCTCTGCTCAGGCCACTGACAATCTGGCAACCCACACCATCTGGGGCAGGCCTGGGGTCGCCCGACCTCTCAGGCTCTCAGTCTTCAGGTTCCCGTTGAGTCGGGGTCCATCTCGTCTGTGCAGTCGTTGCCCCCGTGAAGTGCAGAAACTTGACACGCGACACCGAGACCACTGGTGGATGTGCTGAGTGCGGGCTTTGGTCCATCATGTCGCGGGGTTCAATATTGAACAAGGCGAACTTTTGAAGAGTTGCCTCGGCGGCACTACTGGCGAATACTAGCAACCTAAGTCAAGAAGAGAAGCAATGAGGCGAAGCTTGGAGCATGCTTGCAACCGAGTCTTGGCTCTGGACGAAAACGAGGGAGACGGGGGCACTTTTGAAGAGACCAAATCGTTAGGACATGAAGCCAAGACCGTATAACTCATTGCCCGTAGTCTGGGCGCCGTGGGCGGTCGCGATGGGAATACCACCTTTCCTTTTGGTCTCTTGAACCCCATATAATCCTGTGGGCACATGTCAAGTGTCACCTCTGGAGTAAGAAGCCGTGCCCGTTGCCATTGCCCAGGAGTCTGGCACCGTTGACTAAGAGAAAAGCCTTCCGGGCTTTGGGGTATCTGGCGGGCTTCCGCTCCCACATTCCCCCAAAGTCCCAACCACTCCCGCTCCAGTCCTTCAAGTCTGCACAACTTCGGCGGTATCCAGTGGATCGTAGGCAGTCCGATACGAATCTCCTGTCCGACTGGTCCATCTCAAGAACCAGAAACTGATCCATCATCCAAAAGGACCTTTGGATGGGGCCGTTCCAAGAACTGCAGACAAAAATCCCCCGGGGTGTCTGGCTGAACCGGGCATAGCCTCGCCCCGGAACCAACCAAACAGGGGAGGACGTGGGTGTCGCGACATTAAGCTCATGGGCCACTGCGACGGCTCTTATCGTTTGGGAAGGTCGCCGGGGGACTAGTGCCACGGCAGAGAGCTGCAACTAAAGTGTTTGACCGGACTCTTCCATGCGGCCCATCTGTCAGCAACCAGCTAGGAACCCGTGTCTGGACTGTGGGTAGCAAGACGCGGCTTTGGCTAGAGGAGATGAAGCGTAAGAGGAGATGAGAGAGAAACCGCATGTTCAGCTCGATGGGCAGAGTCAAACTTCATGACTGGACTGAACAGTATCGTCGTCTGCTCTATAGGACCAGAGTTATGATGTGCACATGCGGCAATCCTCGGCCTTTGCTCTCGTTGGCAAACCCAATTGTCCATCCAACCCCTCTCCAGCCCTAAGCCAAGACCGTTTACACCCATTCAACCACTGGAGTGGCCTCGGTAGCAACATCACCTTCCCTTTCCCGCGCCATAGATGAGTCTTGGCGGAGCGTACCAATGAACGGGGCGGCGATGATTTGAGATGCGTCTTCGCATCATCGGCATCCCCCAAACTTCAATCGACTAATAGTGATCCGTTCATTGGTAGCGACTGTTACCTAGACGCAGCAGGACTGAACAATGCGATTCGTCGCATACTAAAAAAGACCCCTAATCAACGGGAATCCTTCGTGTGGCGCATTAACGAATCAAGACCTCGGCGTGGCACTCGGCTATCACCAGGCCACCCGCCCCTTTGCTCGCCCTTCCCGTCCATCGTACAGGACGATGCCAGGCACGCCAGGACCAACTTTGTTCTCGAAGCCACGCCAGAAGCCAAGTCGCAGCTATGCGGCAGGCCACACAGGCTCCGGCTGGCGCTCTCCCGTGAGCCGAGTGAACGCCAAAACACGCCTGGTCATCGATGTTACACCACCACACCAACACTGGCAACACAGAGCCAACGAGCTTTTTTTTCGTGCCAACACTGATAGAGAAGTCAGGTCCGGGAGATACGCCAATGATAGTGCTCGATGAGATGGGGTGGCGGCGATGCCAAGGTCGATCAACGTTACCGCCGAGCCCCTTGGCTGTCGCATTTCACCGTCCAGGAGACTCAAACTCTCACCACTTTGGCACTCTGCTGGCTGACTTTTCCCGTGTCTAGCAAGCAGATTCTGCAACCTGCTGATATCAGATAGAGCCGGCCGAGTTCAGCTGTTTGCCCGGGTTTCACGAGTCGCGAATCACGTACCCTCCCTGGAGTGTGTATCCAACAAGGCGAATCCAACTCTCTCTCTCTGTCTCTCACTTTGTGTCTCAACTCTGGTGTTAACCCCAGACCGACACCAGCTACGCCGCCGCCTATCTGTTACCCTCTGATTCTCGACCTGCCTAATCGGGCCATTCGTCCTGGAGCCCATCACGGTCCATCAAATCCATCAGGGCCCATCGTCTCCCTCTCGTTGGAGCTACCCACCACCCACTACTGGTATCTGTCTCGGTCCAGCCTGGCGTGGAATCCGTGGACTCTCACCTGTGGGATCATTATGTTGCAACAGATCCCTTCAACTCTTCCCTGCGACCTGCGTCGTCCTGCGCGCGCTGGCCGCCTGTCTCCGATTCTGACCCCCCTGCACCGTCCCAAACGCCCGACCTTGACCCCATCGTCTGCGACAGTGTCATTGTCGTGGTGCGGTACTTCGCGTTGTTCTGTTCTTCGCAGCCTAAGCCAAGCAGAGGAAGAGGTAGCGTGTGTTCTTTCGTCTCCTGTCCCGTGGCGACGGTTCTGGGCGAGATGGACGGTCCCCTCCCTCGTCGACGGCTCCGTCGACGCCCACGCACAAACCCTGGACCCAGGAACCTTGTTGACATCGAAGCAAACCTTACCTCCTCCACGATTGGCCCGTCCCATGCCATCCCATGCCACCACCGTCTTCCCTCCGTGCTCGACATGAGTCCATGTCCATGTCATCCAACCCCCGTCCTTGTCCCCCCACCTCCAGGCGCTAGAGTATCTCGCCCATGTCTGTGTATCTGCGGATACCTACCGGCTGCCGAATGCAGCTGTGATGCGACCTCCCAGTGTCGCGACCGGGAAATATAAATCATCTTCATGAGACGCTCCCTTCCGCGTAGTCCTCCCCTCCCCTTCTCTTTCGCGATCAGCAGCCCTTCATACACGGCCAACAGCTCAGGTCCTAGTTTGACCCATCTGTCAATTTGCTGTCAAAGACTCGTTAACTCGTGTCTTTCGTTATCACACTCGCGGAGCCTCTTGTACCAAATCTCTGGTTCCTCCCCCCGCTCCAGCGCAAGAAACTTTCCTCCAACTCAAGCCATGAGTAACGCCGGAGGCCTTCAGGACGATGTCCTGGCCAAGGCTCACGTTCCCCAGGCCACTGTGCAGGGCACCTCGAAGGAGACTCGCGGCTCATTCGACGTGACCGCCGCCGCCGCCCCTCCCCTCGAAGACAACTACTACGACTCCAAGTCCGACGATGACTACGAGGATAAGCCCACCGAGGAGGAGCTGAGCACACTTCGTCGTGTCTCGGGTCCCATTCACTGGGGTATCTACACCATCGCCTTCGCCGAGCTTTGCGAGCGTTTCTCGTACTACGGTTCCTCCGTCTTGTACACCAACTTCGTTATGCGCCCCCTGCCTCCGGGTTCGACGACCGGCGCCACTTACGGTGCTGATATCCCCGCCGGTGCCTTGGGCATGGGCCAGAGAGCCTCCCAGGGTGTTTCTTTGGTGAATCAGTTCTGGGCTTACCTAGTCCCCCTCTTCGGGTATGTTGATTCATGTGAACCTGCTCTGAGAATAGCAACTGACTAGTAATGCAGTGGTTGGTTGGCCGATTCCAAGCTGGGTCGCTACAAGGTCATTCACATCGCCATCGCTGTCTCGACCGTCGCTCACATCATCCTGACTGTGGCCGCTGCTCCCTCCGTCATCTCCAAGGGCAAGGTCGCCTTCGCCCCCTTCTTCCTCGGTCTCTTCATTCTTTGCTGCGGTACCGGTCTGTTCAAGGCCAACATCTCTCCCCTGCTTGCTGAGCAGAACAAGGACACCCGTATGCGCGTTGAGACCCGCAAGGGCGAGCGCGTCATTGTTGACCCTGCCGTCACCAACACCCGTATCTTCCTGTGGTTCTACTTTGCCATCAACTGCGGTGCCGTCAGCGGTCAGATCTCCATGGTCTTCGTTGAGAAATACCACAGCTTCTGGCTGGCCTTCCTCCTGCCCACCATCCTCTTCCTCATCTGCCCCGTTGTCCTCTGGTCCAACAGGAAGAAGTACTACCTCACCCCCCTACCGGCTCCGTTCTTGAGAAGTTCGTCCACATGTCAAAGTTTGCTGCTAAGCGCTCCGGCGGCATTACCAAGCTGAACTGGGAGAACGCGAAGCCCAGCAACGTCCCCGTTGCCGAGCGCCCTAACTGGTTGACCTACGATGACGCCTGGGTTGACGAAGTTCGCCGCGGTCTCAAGGCCTGCAAGGTCTTCCTCTTCCTGCCCATCTTCTTCCTCGCCTACAACCAAATGACCAACAACTTGACCTCCCAGGCCGGTTCCATGGTCTTAGGTGGTGCCCCCAACGACGTTATCCAGAACCTGAACCCCCTCTCTATCATCATCATGATCCCTATCCTGGACCACGTTGTCTACCCTGGTTTCCGCAAGATGGGTTTCAACTTCACTCCCATTAAGCGTATGACCACTGGTTTCTTCTTCGCCGCCGCCGCCATGGTCGCCGCCACCGTCATGCAGCACTACGTCTACCAGATGTCCCCTTGCGGTGACCTGGCCACTATCTGCGAGGAGGGCCCTGCTCCCATCAACGTCTGGGCTCAGTGTCTCCCCTACGTCTTCGTCGGTCTCGCCGAGATTTTCACCAACGTCACCTCATACGAGTACGCCTTCTCCAAGGCTCCCGAGAACATGAAGTCCCTCGTCATGTCCGTCAACTTGGCCATGAGTGCTGTCTCTGCTGCCATCGGCCAGGCCTGGACTCCTCTGTCCGAGGACCCCCTCCTTGTCTGGAACTACGCCTCTGTCGCCATCATTGCCTTCCTCGGTGGTGTTGCCTTCTGGTTCTGCTTCAAGCATCTCGACCGAGAGGAGGATGAGCTCAACCAACTTAAGAAGACGAAGTTCCTTGGTTCCAACCAGCCCACTGCCGCGGCTCAGGACGACCAGGTCGCCCAGACCCACGTCTCTGAGAAGGTTTGAACATTCTTGCCCAGAATTGTTCATACTCCGCTTCCTCCCGCGGAGGAGCGTGTGTAACCTCATTTGGTTGTATGATTTCCCGCGTCAAATGATTCCCCGGCAGTTGGTCTTACGGACGAGCGCCAATACTTCTAGTTAGACAAGTGCACGATAATGCTTATATTAATGAAAACACCTATTCACCACACACCAAGCTTCCATGTACGGAGTATTTCTTGACCATGACGTGAAACACTTGAATAGGAATCTAAGATTCATCGCACTGAACCGCCGGCGTTGGGTCAGAATCGCTAACGTATGTGTAAGTCAGCAAGAACTAGAGCCTCCCCTCAAAAGCCTGTCCCAGCCCTGTCTATTCTCGCCCTGTCCAAAATGTCATCGTTCTCATGGTATCAATCTTTGTAGCGTGACGCAACGCACCAAACATTGCACTGTTTGACTGAAACACACCTTTAATGTAGTGGCAAACTCGTATCATCAGAGTTTGCTTCGAGCTGGATCAAGCTTCTAATCCTTCTATAAGTTGTGGCAGTGATCCCCACTGGAGTTAGTGATGCTTCTCCATTCACCATGCATCTTTCCAGAATTCCACCTAGGTGTCACCAGGGTCATAGGCCGATACCGAAGATTTCCACTTCCACACCATAAAGCTGAGCTTGCCACTTCCTGATGAAGGTCAATTCGAGCAGCTCAGGACAAGATTTAGCCAAGTTTTGTGCATTTTAAGCGGGAACCTCGTGTACCGGATGGTAGTCAACTGCTCACATATGCGCTATCTCGTACTTCTTGTCGTCGAGGTCGTCGAGATCCTCGTTGTCCGGAATACCTTAGTTCTGCTCCTCGGTTGTGACCAAGCGGCTCAGTTTCCTGAGTAGTGCGAAGCTTAGAGCCAGTGCCTTATGATCCTACAGTCAGCAACTTACTAGATCCCCATGAGAAAAGTGATCACATAGACTTATTAAAATACACACGTCCCGAGACCGCCCTCTAATGGGAGATATTTGATATTCGGACACACGCGCGCGAAGATGTAGGTATTAGACATGAGTAAAAACTTCGCATAGTAAAGAATCAAGAATCATGGTGTGCAATACCAAGCTATCAAAGGGTACAGTCAGATCAAGCTGAACAATGAGGAGAGAGGCGAGTGCCAGATATCAAACAGTCAAGGGTCGCCAGGAACAAAACATGCAACTAGAAATGAGGCAGTTGGAAGAGCTCCTATGGCGGGTGCATCTTGGTTATGTTCCCTGAAAGAGTATGGCCAATAAATGAGAAGCCTTTGAATCCAGTCGAGACAGCTGGCACGCCGGCAACGGGACTTTTTGGTGGACTGGAGTATGGATATCGTTGCTTCAAGTCGTTTACACCATGACAAAGAAAAGGTTATTACACTTGTTTTGCGGGTTGTAGCCCGGGGATATCTCGATGTTGCTTCAACTTCAGAAATCGAACGCTGCCCCTAAAACTCCAGCTCTTGTCCAACATTGAGTCATCATACAAATCTCCTCAGACCATGGCCCCCTTGCTCTGGGGCTTTTCTCCGGTCCTGTAATCAGTCGAGGACCTAGAGTCGTCCCCGACGCTGGTATTGGACTCATAGGTTAGGTTGACGTTGGTTGTGCGGACAATGCCGTTGTACGTCATGATCTCCTCCTCGGATCCAAATGGCGACGTGCTTCGGATCTCTGTATGGTGTTGCGAGCGCGTCATGCGCATGTCTTTCAGCGTGATATTGTCGCCTTCTCGGACCGTATTGCGAGGCCGGGAGGAGTTGCCATAGTACTTCAGCCCGCTGCTGCCGGTCTTGCCGGAGCTGATAGCACCAAATAGCTTCGGCCACCACTTGCGGAACATGGGGCGCAGAGCCGGGGCGGAAGCTGAGACGATGGCGAGATTCACTTCAACCGTGTTGTAGACGACTCCGATATCGTAGAAGGGGTCCTTGTTGGGGTCCGGAGGCACGTAGAAGAGCTTGTAGATCGCAACAAGACGGATGATTGCGACAATCGTAACGCTGGCAGGAATATTGTCAGCTCATGAACAAAGTTTTCAATGTCATGGTTGCAAGACTTACACTGCACCAACCAAAAAGACGCAAATGACGGCAATCTTTGCGCCCATCGGCATATTCAAGCCCAAGAAAATCCAGAACGGCAGCAACAGAACAAGAAGATCCATCAAGACATTGAGGCAGGAGATCGATACGTGGAAAGAGTTGTCGACGCATCGTGCAGACGCCCGTACGAGGGGATCCCAGTTGGCCTCAATCGGTAGGCACTGAAGAAGAGCGACGAGGAAGATGGCAATGGCCATGGCGGCATTGGCGATATTCAGACCATGGATGGTCCATCGAACGCCAGGCTTCTGTCCTCCGAGACGCAAAAGAAACACCAAGATTGAGGCCCTGACGAAGGCCAACACGGGGTTGTAGAACATCTGTGCCATGAAGAACCACCACATGGCGGCTGACGAGTTGAAGGGTTGGGGGACATCAACGGCGTGGTATCCGAAATACATGAGCTTGATGTCTAGATGGAGTTTAGTAGGTAGACGAGACAAGGCGAAGGCATATGGTGTTGAAGTAGAGAAGTTCTATACTTACACATATAAAAGGGCGGCGTCATACACACTGCGCATAGCTAAAATCTTTGTTAGCAAACAACATTCGGTTTGCGGTTGTCGTAGATTCGTTCGAAGTTGCGTACCACTGCTATGCCGCACAACCAGTCGTCTATTTCAAGTGTTAGCCTTCAAAGATATTCAACCAACATAATGGTCTTTGAGTAACATACCAAGACCCCATTGTCTAGTCATAAGTCTGCTGTATGTTCGAGCCGCAAACACAACTATCGAAAGCGCCGGGAAGAAGAAAATGATGAATATGGCGGCTTGTTGATGTGGTGGAGTTGGTATCGTCAACACGTCCGGGTGCTCAGGGCGCCGAGCAACAAGCGAAGCATACTCCATGTTGAAAGATAGATGGATATGAATATGTAATCAGGCCTGCAGGACGCAGCCGGGCTGCCTTGTAAAAGGGAGATCGGCCCCCAAAGCGAAGCTTTGACTGGCTCCTCAGTCGATGAGTCGTGCTGTCCAGTCCCAGGGCGCCGGGTCGTCGTGGGTAAGAGCCAAGAAATCTCACTGTCAACTGAAGCGAACCAGGAGAGAGGAGCGGTCAGATCGAGGGTAGTAGCGGGAGACAGGAAGGACCCTTTTCTTTATGTAGATCTCTGTGTTATTGAGAGGGTAATCCACGATGTCGCCACAGTTTCCCCCTCTCCGGGAAGACAAGACGCTACTGCTGCTTGAACCAAGTCGAACGACTACGCTAAACATGATACACGGGAAAATAAGCTTGACAGGCTTTGAAAGATAATCGTTCACCCCGTTGTAGAGTAGAGTTTTCTGCAGATCCCCAATGTGGACGGCGTGATCCTGACTCCTCTCGTGTTCCAAGGGTGGTCTGGAAGAAAGGGAAAGGGGGCGTCGTCTCTAGCTCCTTTCTCTACAAGGCACCATGATCCTCCATCTCGAAGTCTTAATATCATTGGCCTCAGAGACACCTTTGCAACACAAGCGAGCGAACGGGAGAATCTTCTGTTCTCAAAGGTTGGGGCGGAGACGAACAGGAGCAAGGTCCCAGGTTGGAGGATAGTCTAGCCTATGTCGACCCTTGCTCCACCCGCAAACCTCCGGTAGTGTGCTGCGCGGTATATGAAGTCCCGAGAGTGTTGAAGATTGCAAAGCCATTAAAGGGCCCCCACGCTGCGATAGTGTTGACTGCCGTTTGCGGCACGGCATGACTAGGCGAGTGGCCTTTTTAACTTTTGAGACAACAGTTGATTCACTTGAGTGAAGTTGACAAGGCTACCAAAGTGTCGGTGCTGAATATCAGACTCACATATTATAGTTACCCGCGCTGGACTATCAGCCTTAAGATCGGACTATCATCATCACATCAGAAATTTTCAAAAGGCAATCTGCAGTCTCCGAGCTTCGGCAACATTTCCAGCTCCAAGGACTCGTTCCTCATGTCGTGCGTTGTATTTCCCTCAGGGGTTCGCATACGTGTTCCTTGTCTGCCAAGCCGCTTAGAACACCATGCCCGGCCAAGAAAATGGCGTGTCTGGGTAACACAAGGGAGAGAACGGCGGGTTGGCTTTCAGCCGAGAGAACGGACTATTCGTAAAGTACCAAATCTGCCAAAGACCCTCCCCGAATTGCTTCCAGAAAACTCGACCTAGTCTGTGTGTTATTTAGTCGCGGCAATGAGTGTGCTACCAACGGCGTCTAGTCACGAACCGCCGTTGCAGAATCCGATGCAACTACGCTCGTCGCTTGTCGCCCGACAGTCCAGTGCGGGTTCAATTTGAGCTCAACCCCGGACCCCAGACCCAAATTTACCGCCATTGCCGTTTCCCACTCTGTATCCGTAGTTTTGCGGTAGAAGCGGCTGGCCGAGTGCTAAAACGCACAGTAATTGTCCAAATTGTCCTACGTCGATCCTTACCGCACATGGTGCCAGTGTCCTGTCAAGCACCCCGGCAAAGACTGTTCAACCCTTGCAAGCGAGGGAGACTAAGTTATGAAGCTCCTCACAACTATGGGGCCGTCTCAAACCCTGATTCATTTGTGCAAAATCCCATTATCTCAGCACTTCCCTTCCGAATGGAGACGTCTTCCATCTTGCCTCTTTTCAGTTCGGACATGACTTGTCTTTCCAGGCAGCCAAGTCCTGACCTCGTGGCGTCGGCGTGGGTCCGGCAGGCAGTTCGTTGGATGAGCTTCTCTCGACATCCGACGCTCCGAAACTTGCGTCGCCAAGAATTCGAACAACAGGTCCGGGGGCAGGAACTAGGCCAATCGTGCCCCACGGCGATCTATTGACTTGGTGAAAGTAAGTTTTGGCGGTGGTTTCTGGACTCTTAAGTGCCGGCTTGCTATCACTTATTTCAGTCAATCAGCCGGATCTTCTTCCTTGACCTTCCTGTGGGATGGTTACAGCAGAGTGTCTGCCGCCAAACTTTGGGCATCAATCAAGCCGGGATATCACACGGCGGCCGCGGGAGCGAGCCGACAGCTTGCTCCGTGGATTCGGTGGCGTCGGCGCCGGTGCAGTCACAGCCACACAGGTGTTGATACTTGATACTGAGAACGATCCAAGGCAAGATCATCGGCTGATGACTCGCACGACTCGCCTGAAAATTTGGCGCGTCCAATGACACCCACTTCCCGCAAGCCTAGAAGACTTTGTTTCAGCTGAAAAATGAGCTTGGCACCTTAGTAAATAAGGTAATTTCCATACTCCGTACCTTAGTGTTTCTGTTCTCTTCGCAAGGAACCTGCATTTGCTTTGCTTTCGGGACTCCGCAAACTGATTTCCACATGAGTTCTTATCGCATAGGGATGTTCATTGTTGAACCCTAGATGCGTGCTAGTCGTCGTATCTAGGTAGTAAATATTGCTCTTATGAGTACATAGAATTAAGTGTCAGAATGCAGATTCATTTCGTTTGCAACAGATACCTTCGCAGAGTACCTACTTTTTCAACTGATAACTCCCATGGGTAGGCAAGACACTGCCTCGGTATTCCTGAAACCAATTGTGAAAAGATGTTGCCTGAGCCGAGCCCTAGATTCGATCAAGTCTGCAGGTGAACAATGGTGTGTCAATTTCTTTGAAACCTTTTCGAAAGACTTAACTGGACAAGACTATGTTCACTTGACCTCCGAGCTCGAGTATGTTCTTGTTGGTATCACAGGCGTGATACATTTCCTCATGAGGGTGTATCTTCGGCAACAATCACGTCGATGTCCGTGATAATTGCTGTTGTTGTTCTTCCTATTTACATTGTGGGCAGGGGCCGATCGAAGTAGGTGGGGACGGCCTGTGTGGTTGCCCCACCTTAACCGGCCGTGATGACTAAGCCGGTTGTCCCACTTCGCCCAGGGCAGGCGCCAGCCAGCCCACGATACCTGCCCATTGCTCCTTATCAGCCTTGCCGTTCCGACAGTTCTCGTCCTCGTTTTAAGGTCGTAAAACAACTTGGTCTGCTTTCAGATCCATCTGCCGTATCTGGAACTAGAGGTGATATATCCCACCTTGTGCAGAGATAAGCTGGACTTTCTCTTAACGTGGTAGTGTAAATTGATTCAGAGCTGAGCTGCATCACGCCATGGGATAGCTATTGGTTGCGGCTCTTTTCTAGCGTAATGAGGCGATCACTCAATATAGTCCCGGCGTATTTGCCAATTTGATGTGGCCCTACCTAAAACACAAAATACGCAGTCCAAAAAAGGCTGAATAGCCTGTGATGTATCTCACTAAGTATCTAATACTTACGTTAAGTTCAAGTATTGATCTAATTGTCCACGACCATTGCTCCATTACCGACTGAAGTACCGAGAAAACTGACAAAAGTTGCTCAACTGTGAGCATCGAGAATTAGTGTTCCCTTCCCCGTTAATCCAGGAGAAACACAAGCATAAGTACGAAACAGTGTTCCTTGCTGTCGATGGTATTCACAACAAAGACGGTGACAATTAGCTAAGAAGCATCGCGCGTGAAAGCAGCCTACAGATTTTAATACCTGCAGTCTGTATGATACGACTAGGTGTGTGATTTTACATTTTGATTTTGCCATGATAACCAATCCATGCCTTTATGGCTTTTGTGCAGTCCGAGTGCCCATTTCTGAATAATCGAGGATATCAAGAACAGCTTTATGATTTTTGGGTGACCTTTAAAGCTTGGTCGGGAGACGGCCGGACTGCTGTCCGGTCCAAGTCGCGATAAGGTCCATCAATGCAGGCGACAAGGCGTCGTATGTCTCCAGCCCAACAGACTTAAATTTGCTGCGAACCTCATCGATGCCGCTGGGGTGGAAGCCTTGCTCAATAATGGAAGAGACAAAGGCGGCGAACTGGGGTTCCTGCCATCCCTTCTGATCCGAGAGCTCCGCGTGCACAAAGTCCAGACCCTTGAAGGGGTGTGCCTTTTCGATACGTCCGTACAGATGAACCCCGCACTCCTTGCAGGCGTTTCGGAGAATGACTGCCGAGTCGTCGACAACGTGGAGCTTGCTCTCGTTCGCAGTGACCTTGACTTGGTCTCTTGAAATAACACCGACAACGGAGAAGAGAGCGCCAGCGGGCTTCCAGCACTTTGAGCATCCGCAAGCGTGGTTGTGGGCAACGTTGCCTCCGAGTGTAACTTCAACGGGGTTGCTCTTGCAATGGCAACGGAGCTTTCCGCCGGCGAAGTTGGGGTCTCCCTTGGTGAGACCGTTGTCGATCAATGGGTGAAGAGAAGGGGCCATGGTGGACTAGAGGTGTTGTGACTTGTTGGTGTTGGTTGATTAATCAGATATTGGTGTTGATGGGTGGGCCGAGGACCTTGATGGACTTGATTAGTTTCTTAGATGCGTATATAAAGACGGCGAGGAATTCCTTTATACCAGACGTTCCGTTTCGGGGTGTTCTCAACTCCCGACCCCTCGACCGGCTACTTGGCAGAAGGGTTCCCGAGCCATCCCCGAACAGGCCGGACCGGAACCAATATCCACGCGTTGGCTTACCTGATTCACTGTCTTCCCCGCATTTCAATGCCGAATGCTGTCAGTCAAACTTTGATTCGAGCACGCAACTGGGATAAACTTGCCCGTTCCGCCTAATCTTCACGATTGCATGTCTTTACGTTGCTATTATGAGGGCGCCTAGGCTATCGGATCCCCACCCAATTTGGCACCGATGGTGATGATACCCCGCAAAGTTTCACTTCGAAGTCAATTGCTTCGCCGCAGAACCAAGAGGAATACCCCGCTCGGCCAACCTAACGCCTAACCCCACGACCCGGATGATGCGGTTCTGCATGATAGATGCCGCTGATGTGAGCCGAAGTCATCGGCGTTAGGCATAGAGGTCTCGAGAATGACACCGACGGTGGCTTGGCCGGTTTTGGAAGGCCGAATTGTCTATCGAACTCTCAAAAGGCGTGATCAAATGGCGCAGAGCCTCAAATTTCCGAATTGCCTTCATACCGCCGAGCACAGTCTGGAGAGCTCTTATCACCACATCCGATGACTGGGCCGGGGCTCGGTCCACCGGCCGGCAGATAGCGAATATTGCGAGTACGACTTCTCGCCCATAGAACTCTCGTTCCGACGAAATAGTCATGTCGTTCATCCGAGCCCGTATGACAGAGCATTAACTTCGAAGATATCCAGGGACCACATGTAGCCAGCCAAATCTCGGACTGGTATTCCGACAATGTCTTAATACAAATAGAAATACAAGTCCAGATGGGTCGCGACCATGAAACACTAGGGCATTCTGCTCATTGATGGTAAGATATCAAGCTCTATTGCTTTACCATGTTAACAAAGATTTGGTCCCATCTAGATCATCTGAGACAGGCGGGTAAGGCCCATTTGCTGCGAGGTTAAGCAGCGGCTTTCATTTATCGAAATTGCATGTGTACCTACATGTAGTTGGCCCGGAATACCTCCTATCCTTTGCTCATGTTCTCTTCCACTGTGTTTCACGAGCCCTGGCTCAAATGAGCTTGGTTTAGGATATTCGTTTGGTGACCTCGAAGACTTGCTATTGCTGAGTTTGACTTATGTAGGTAGAAACATGTGAAAAGACACAAACAAAAATGACATCCTTCCGGGTACTTGCTGAAATTTTGAGCAATTCAATTGCAAAACTTGAGTTACGTCTCTAGTCTGCTAACATCTCAGTGCTCTTAGCAAACAACAGCTACGACTGTTTAACTCCTTCAGACAAATGTTGAGGAGCTCTAGCAAGATTTGTGATATCTCCTACCTATGCCCTATCTAGCGCCTATAATGCTTCGGCAAGTTTTTGCCTATTCAGGTTTCACCCATAGTCACAGCACGTAATAGAGAATCACGAGGATGTGGACCCTGTGAATGGCGAATGGGAATTTTGATGTCAGACCGTAGACGTTCTTTTTACTCCCGAATTTTGGAGAACCACCTCAGGAAGCTTAGCTGTGGATAGTGTAACGGCAGACTTTACGGGCAAAGAGAAGGACCACCGAGATCGTGCGTACTCACAGCTTCGCGCTGAAGCCTTGTAATCGGAAATTTGTTATGAATGACACGACATCCTCTTCTTGGGCGATCAAGTCTAAACACCTGTTACACCCGCGCCACTCGTAATATTCGGTCGAAGGTAGTTCAGAGTACTTAAAATTTCATAAGTGGGATAATTGCGTCTTGAGTCGCCGTTGAGTCTCTGCGCTGACATCTTGCTAGAGGCTAAGCACTGGTATCCAGTCCCATCCTCAATGACGCATGTTGACAGGTCCAGAACGGCAAGCTAGCCTAATTACCTAAGTATAGCATCCATTCAACTAGATCGCCTCTCCTGTGAAAACCTGTCGACGGCCGCAATGTGTAGTGCAGCTCAACGATGTGGTTGATAGGGTAAGTGAGGCTATAATAATGAGGTCCAGAAAGATATATGCCGTTCCGTTGTGTGAATAACTTGAGTATACTATTGTTTTCGTCAGACTTAACATCACCATCGGCAGCGCTTCTAACAATTCAATCAGCGAAGATAAGGGGGTCTTGACTGACTGACTGCTTCAATTTCCCCCCATTATCTGACTGATTGATAGTTAACTGAATGATCTGAATCCTCTGATATATAATTGAAGCTATCGCGATATTCATAGACCCCTCTGGTCACTAAACTTTAAATAGTATTCTACTAAGAGTAATAGAGCTACTACGTAGTGTTACGAGCAGGACAAGGCAACCAACTGTGGCACAAAGCAAAAGCTTCGATAATGATGACTCCGGCATCATTGTCCCTTGTTCTGCATTATATAGCTACGCGCCCACAGTGACAAGTTGCGGCGGGCGTAACATATCGCTTCCCAACATGGGGCGCGTCACGATTAGCGAGCAATCGATTCGCCATTTCTTCAACACCGCGAAGACGGGGAGGAAAATATCTGGCGTCCAGGTCGAGGATGTACTCAATCAGCTTCTTCTCTTCTAGCAGCGTTAAATTCCGTGAGTTAGGTGTGCTATCACGTTGTAATAACGTTCCCTCTAATCTACGGCCTAAGGTAACGCGACTAATATTATAGATCTTTACCGCGGCCCGAATACTGAGATTTCGGTCTTTTTAGGTAGCCTGAACCGCTAAGTTTAATTGCGTATCTTTGTTATGTACTGTCATTGTTTTCGATGGAGAAATGCGTGTTGTGATGATGTAGGTGGCACGATGGCGGTTGGGTCACGGTCAGGCCACGGGGACTTTAAACAATATCACCAACGCTTTAACCACACGGAAGCACTACTCACCTGCTCCTGTGGATGGGTTAAGGAGGCAGACCATCTAGTCTACTGCCGAAAGACCCTACTGAGGAGGCAACAGTGGCCCACCCTCTACCCCTACAGCCGCCAGGAGCCCGTAGGACCTATAGGGTCCCTCGATCGCTACTTCAAGGGGCTAATCACTGACTCTGAAGGCTTCCAGGCCTTCCTCTGCGTGACAGACTTCTTCCAGAAGACCTGCCCGCGGTACTAGGAGATAGGTCATAACCTATCCTCCAAACGACAAACTACCTCTATTAAGAAACCAGATGGTTATAACGGAACTAGGGCACCAGTGGGAACTAGGGATGGATAGAACACATAGTAGCTCACGAGCAAGATTTGGAGGACGTCAGGAGACGGCGTGTACTATATAGTATATAGCTAGAGCCTGCGACCCTTCACGCCACATACCCTTCGGGAGGTCTGCCGCAAGGGCGGCTGCGCCCTTGCCGCCATGGCGTTAAATAGAACAACAACAACAATGGCGGTTGGGTGGCCCACTCGCTTATCATGTACGTTACCTCTAGCATATATAGAATTTATAAGTAATAGAAGTATTGCTGGCAGGTGGATGCTGGGCAGGTGGATGCTGGGCAGGCGGATCAGACAATCTATTGCTACGGGCAGGCTCTATCCTAAGCAGGTACAGGCTCTGTTGACAAGACGTAGCTCAAGGAGCTACGTTTCTGGACATGCGCGACAGAATACAGGATGCAGGGTTTTATCCAGCCTCAGGCTTACGTAACCCGGCCACCGGATTACTCAACACCAACCTTAAGGTTGGGGGCTAGGACAGCGGGTCTGTGACAATTGCAACCCTATTGGTTCACTCAATAGATTTACAACCCCTTATTGGCTCTACCCCGCCCTTGGCGAAAACGGGGTCAAGCAGCACCCGATGGGATAGCCCACCTGTTCCCGCTCACCTATCGTTTGCGTTGGCATTCGCATGTGAATTTACCGACATTAACCATCACCATTGGAAATAAGACAGGCTCAAGTCGCTCTGATAAAACCCCCTGTATAGATATTGGTCTACGCTTTCTTCAGTTGAACGAGTACGAATAAGAAGTTGCTTGCCGAGGCAACGAGGTAATTGTAAAGTGGGTGAGTTCGGGTGATAAACATGAGGCGACGGCGAGGAAGCGAAAGCATAAACTCAGTCATGATAGAGCTTTCGAGAAGTTGCCGTCAAATCGATAGGTCAATAGACGCACAGAAGCGCTGTCGAAGCGTCAAATGTGCCGAGGTACACGTTTTGGTTGACGTTGTCGTTCGCATTCGCATGTTAGTGGAGGGACGAAGCAGCCAAAGAGAGGCTGGATCGAGGGGTTGAGGAGGCGTCAGACACTTTAAGACATGACATGCGAGCCCCTGCATGGCATCCTCCACCAAGCACGAGATCGACGCGTGCACGTCCCGCCAGGGAAAAAAGCCTCGGCATGCACTTTGCCTCAACAAAAAAATCCTCTGATCGCACGAGTTTCCATACATAAGATCTTTGCTGCCATCACGACTTCAAGAGACGCGAGACCTGATGTCAACTCAACAGCAGACCACAGACACAATGGCGGAAGAACTCGACATTCTCATTCTTGGAGCAGGCATTTCCGGCGTCAATGCCGCGTACCGTGTGCGGACAGAGCTGCCGGGCAGTACTTTCGCGGTGCTCGAGGCCCGTGACGTAGTTGGTGGGACGTGGTCTTACTGGAAATATCCTGGATTCCGCTCCGACTCGAATATGACGAACTTTGGCTTCGGATGGCATCCATGGCCTCACGACAAGAAGATCATCGAAGGCGCGCCCATCGCAGCTTACATTGAAGATGCTGTCAAGACACACCACATTGATAAGCACATCCGATTCCAGCACAAGGTTAAATCATCAAATTGGGACAGTGATGAGGCACGATGGACTCTGGAGTGCAACACCCCCGAAGGAAAGAAGAAGATCAAAGCCAAGTTCCTCTTTGTTTGCTCCGGATACTACTCCTACGAGAAGGCACTGGACACACATATCCCCGGAATCGAGAGCTTTGAGGGCAAGACGATCCACCCTCAGTGGTGGCCCGAAGACCTTGACTACACTGGAAAGCGCGTTATCATCATCGGCTCTGGTGCCACCAC